TATATATGTATTTTTCGTGTTTTTGGCTTGATTTGATTGTCCTTTGGTGAAAACAAATGTTAAATTGTGAAAGCAAACCCTTTTCCCCTGAACGTTAAAAGACAGGAGACTTACTTTTTGTCTAAAATATCAACGTTGAAGTCGTTTATATATTTGGAAATCCATATAATGGTAATTATTTATTAAATGCATGTCCTGTTTTGTATATATGTATATATTATTATGTTAATATGGACAATGGTAAAATTCAATATCACAGTTTAAGTGCTGTTCACAAATGTATGTAAATCTGCTTCGTGATGAATGAAGCAATAAATGTATGCATCTGAATCTTCATTTGTTCTGTATTCTTTGATGAGAATGAGTTTCCTTAATGATGATCACTCTCGCAGATTATTTGATAAGAGGATATAACTTTAACTGGAGAATAGTTATGAAAAATGTATATACAAGTATAGGCGGTCTGTGCACATGTGGTGAAACTGATACCTCATTGATTTGATAATCGGGACTTGGAAATCATAGTCTGACATTAAATTGATTTTGAAATATATGGTTTTGACTGTAGTACGTCCTGACATGATAATATTATGTCCTAAACAACTTATCTTATCTTATGTTAAGTAAAACAATTATTGATAACTTCCTGAATTCCAATTGTTCAATAAACAGAATTATTCGAAGCTATGGCGTGAGACAACAATAAATTAGATGTTACCAAAGATTGTCCATTTTATGATCTTAGGCACATTTCGGTGCACTTACATGTGAGCCGTCTAGACGACTGTCCGTTTTGTAATTAAATGGCAGCCATCCAGACGAATACTTAATCTTGAGACCTATTAGTGTCTTGTCGAGTCAAGTGCGGGTCTCCCTCTCACCTTAGGGAGAATACGACTGTAAAAGCCCCTCGCCAGACAGACAAGTAGTGAATGTTTGAGATAAGTTTATTAATTATTATATATAGTTTAAACTCAATAAATAATGCATAGTCTTTTGATTGTTCAAATTACTAATAAAACATATTTTAACTTGTCCCTTCTAACCATACTTCCAAACAATTACAAACCATTCCAAGCCATTCCAAACTTTTCCTCAGTTGGAAATATGTTTGGAAATGTTGCCAATCCAATTTTGGATTTTCCGTAAAGATCGATCCTTCCAAGCTTTGGAAAGGTTGGAATGAGCGATCTTTCCAAAGCAATCCAACGTTCATTCCAAATTGGAATGGACGCTCCTTGGTCTTGTGTTGGTGAGGAAGTCCATGGTGATGCATGATGTGTGGGACCTGGCGTTGTCCTGTTGAAAAATCTGTCACTGCCGATCGATAACTGGAAGAAGGTGACGTAGGATTTCATCTCTGTAACGAACGGCGACAAAATTCCCTTGCAAGTGCACTAGGTCGGTTCTGCGGTTGTGGAAAGTGGCCGCCCACATCATCACACTTCCTCTTCCGAATCTGTCCACCTCAACAACACAGTTGCGGGCGTGGCGCTCATTTCGACGTCTATAGACTCGGATTCTACCGTCACGACGTTACAACAGGAAACGTGATTCATCGCTAAACCTAATTCTTTGCCAGTTTTTCCATTCCATCTTTTGACGTTTCTGCACCAACGAACACGTGACAGGCGATGTGACGTTGTAGCACATGTCAAACATACAAGATCTTCTTGAACAGTCCACTCACCGTAGGCGATTTCTGTGCAAACACTCTCTGAAGACCTGGGACATTTCCTGCGCTTTCAGTTCCTGGGACCGACCTGTTGCCAAGATGGAACAGCCGGATGTAACGATCCTGCGCCGCAGTTGTAATCTGTCGCCTACCAGTTCGAGGACGGTCGCGGGTGGATCCAAGTTTTTAGTAACGCCTCTGAATACGTAGTGAACATTAAATGACGTGCAACAGATGATTGTGATTCTCCTGCCTCTCGACGTCCAATGGCGATATATCTTGCCACATCAAATGTCTCGGAAAACACACAAAAAGGTAAATGCTATGTACCCTGGTGTACAACTTTTCACGTGCATCACGCATTGTGATCCTTTTCCACATGAAATGTTCATGCATGTGGGAAAATGACGTATTTAGGGTTAATGTTTCATGATTAGTTACGATTATGAACTAACATTCAGTTGGAAAACAATTTTTTCATCGTTTCAATTTACATGAACTAAATTCAACATTTATAATTCACCTGTGCGTTTCTTTTTGGGGAGAGTATATTTCACATTCGAGAAATCTTCTCACGACCCGAGGTGGCAGTTGTTTATGTGATGTGGGTATCATGTCTACAATCGGCAAGATATAGAGGCAGAATAGGTCTATTGTATTGGAGAATCATGGGTATCATCCATTAGAAATATTTTGTTTCAATATGTATTTGGGGTTGTATGGTTGGGTCAGGATATTGATGATGTAAAAATGTTTATCTGCCTATTTAAGCAGAGATTATATTACTGTCTGTGCCACGATTAGCTTCATGCTATTGAAGTATCTTCTAATGTAAGTTATATGGACAATTCAAATCAATGCTAAATGTTGAAATGTACCTTTCTTATGACATTCCAATATTATATATAATATTGGAAAGGTATATATATATATATATATATATATATATATATATATATATATATATATATATATATATACACTCTGCAAAAAAAAGGAAACGCAGGTGATTTTAGATGTCTATTTTATATTAATAATCAACAGGCAGTAAAGTGTTCAAAATCGGCACATAGCATTGCCATTGACCCAGGTTCCATATGGCACACATGGAACAGTAGATGTTTAAGATGAAGGTCATCTGTTCTCAATATCTTATGGCCACCATTAGTGTCAAAAACTGACTGTCAGCAATCAGATCCCGCATTTTGGCCTGTGGAATGTTCAACCACTCTGCCTGCGGTGCTTGTGCCAAATGTCGGAACTTCTGTGGTTGTTACTGACGTGATCGCTGTCGTTGATCCAGTGCATTCCATAAATGTTCGATTGGGTTTAAATCGAGGGCCAAAGCAGGACCTGGATGTTGTGATCCCTGAAAAAGAGGTTGTTGTCAGTCTTGCCGAGTAAGGTCGGGCGTTGTCTTGTTGGAAAATGACGTTCGCTGGTTGATTAATGGGAAGGACTAGAATTTCATCCGCGTGACATAGAAGTCTATTCTACCAGTGTATAAGGTGGCTGACCACATCATGACACTAACTGATATCCAAGAAATCCGGGTATTGTCATAGTTAAAGAGGTGGCTGTAGTGGTTCTTTCACGTAAGTGAGGTCGTCGTATGAATCTGTCCTGTGCTCTGGTTGTGATACGTGGTCGACCGGATCTGGGAAGGTCCCGTTTTGTCCCGCGTGTCAGATAACGGTTCCACAGTCTTGTAATGGTGCTTGGTGCTACGTGGAAAAACCTGGCTACAGCTTCAGATGATTCTCCTGTTTGCAGTCGGCCGATGGCGTTGCTGCGTTGGGCTTCCGTCAGCCGTGGCAATTTTCGCAGTCCACTTGTGATGGCATGCAAATGAAACCCCAGCATTTGTATGGCCCAACAAGCGCCTGTCGTGTTGGTTTCGTTTATGCGATTTTTCCATCGTTTCACGAAATTTCTGCAGAACCTCATTCTTTCCACACAAATCAATCCCAATCCATGAAGAAATTACCAATACATTTTGTATATTAATTTTGTATGAATATCGGCAACACTCTGTCAGATATGTACAATTCTACTACTTTTGCGTTGGTTTTTGTGTGTAAAGTATATGTTATATGTTGGTTCCGATCCAAAAACTTAAGATTGGCTGTGGAAATAGGAGAACTCCTTTGGTTGAATGGCTATGCGTGTCTTGTCATTTTCATATCGTCATGTGTTGAGGATGAGTTCCATGTTATAATGCTATGTCAATCTTATAAATCTTTACGACACGAATGATTTCCATCCGTTCTCCGGAGGCTTTTATTAGCTTAATGGCTTGCGAAAACACAATAATGTGTCTTGTGGAATTCTTGCCCTGGAATGCAAAATAAAAAAACTTTTGAAATGTATTACGGGCCTGTGGCCTTACATTACGGAAATAAATTATTATGTCTCTTTATTTCAATAAATGATATACGTGAAGCAATAAATAGTAATACGTGTGTAAGACGTTTTGCTGATGACGTATATTTTTGTATGATTATGGAAGACCCGCATAAAGTAACTAGTAATCAACATAATGATAGAATTTCGGAATGGGCCTCCAGATGGCAAGTTAATTCATTGGAAAAAAATAAACTTGGATGCTTTTAGAACCATATGTAGCGCTGCCGGGGTAACATGCATCAGAAAATTGACAATGAAAGAAATTGTAATTAATTAAATGACAGAATATACAATTCACAATTGGTAACGTTTTACAAAATGAATAATCATCTCTCACCCGAATATCTTAGTATGCTACTTATTTCTAATATAGTTTCGGAAAACACAAATTATAACTTAAGGGATAGAGCTTATATATATCTTCAAATATTGACGTGTAAAACAGAAGCATATGCAGATTCATTTATACCAGCTAGAACTAATATGCTACCAGAAAACTAAACAGGGACACACACACACACACACACACACACACACACAAACACACACACACACACACACACACACACACACACACACACACACACACACACACACACACACACACACACAAAAACAAACCAACATAGATAACTCGCCGAAGCAATGTTTTGTAAAAACGCACTTGTTTTGCATGATTGCATATGTACATATATATATTCACATTAGATTCAGCTTTTGGCTTTTACCATAGCGCATTAATTAGCAGACTCTGAACCAGTGGACCAACAGCGCCATCACATTTTATTAGTGCTCGTTTAAGGGGTCATTAGCACCTCATTAACACGCATGCGCAAGTAAACAATGTAATGCGCATGCGTGTTACTGACGCCACACCCTTTTGAGTAAGCCACGCCTGTCATTGTCTATCAAACTGAGTAATCATTCGAACGACTAAACGTGATAAAGGGACTACTCTGACAGGATTACCCTTACTGGATTACAGGAAACACTATGAAAAGGTAAGAAATTATGGCTAACCTTAGCCCTAACAAGGCTAACCCTACGGATCGAAAAGGGGTGTTAGATCGGAAAGGCGTGTCAGATCCCTACGATCGAAAAGGTCGTAAGCTTCGTGAGACGAGAGCGAGTGCATTGGAGCTTGAGCCACGGTAACGGCATAACGAGACAGCTGTCGGTAGCGGACGAGGGATCAGTGCACATTACCGGAGATGATCCAATGACCAGATCCAGGTAGCGTTGGGGGGGGGGGGGCTTACGTCAGCTTACCGGCTTGGTTAATTAGTGCATCAATTAGCCGAAGCTGTACCAGCCGGACCTAGAGCGTCATGACATTTTATCAGTGCTCTTTTAACGGGTCATTTAAGAGCACTACTCCCCTCGATTTGAGGAGTAGTGCCCTTTACCGGGCGCACTTTTTCAGATCCAATTAGCGCTGTGGCTCACCGGCTCTGCTAATTAATGCGTTAATTAGCCGACGCTCTACCACTGGACCACAGGCGCTATCACATGTAATAAGTGCTCGTTTAACAGGTCATTAGAATCCCCATTGTAATTTAGTAAACAATGAATTGGACATGCGTGTGACGTCACGGCCCGCTCTCCCATTCATCTTTTCTTGAAACCACACCCGTAATTGTTTATGTCAACATGACCGACCAATGGGATTAACTGGATTAACGCTTGAAAAGGTAAGAATTTGTGGCTAACCCTTGCCCAAAGCCAGCTAACCCTCATGACCGAAAAGGGGTTTGGGATCGTAAAGACGTGTAAGTTTCCCTAAGACCTAGAACGGGTGTTGGATCGTAAAGACGTGTAAGTTTCCCTAAGACCTAGAACGGGTGTTTGATCGTAAAGATGTGTAATTCCCTAAGACCGAGCACGGGTGTTTGATTGTAAAGATGTGTAAGTTTCCCTAAGACCGAAAACGGGTGTTGGATCGTGAAGCGAGAGTCACCAAAGCGTGAGGCACGGTGACTATAAAGAGTCTGTTTAGGCTGAAGAAATTAATTAACATGCGCCCTTTGTCGAAATCTTTATAGATCACAGTTAACCAATCAGTGTTTATGCAAAAATGCGTAAAACAAATATTGCCTCCAGCCTCCAAGTTTATTTAGCTGTCCTTGCAGACGGTAGCCCAGTCTCTGATCATGCTCAGTTGCGTTGCGTATCATCCGGGTACTCACGGGGGAAAAAAAACAATAACAAAGGCAACAACCAGTCCCGGGGAATTTCGTTAGATCAGTGCCCCTTTAACGTCGCGTCCCAGATTATTGCACTTATAGCGACCCAAGGTAACGGTATAGCGAGACAGCGGTCGCCTATAGCGTGGTAATTGACACGGATGGTAGAGCTCGGGCTACGCACGGTAAACTGCACTGATGCCGTTTGGGTTGTTGTTGTTGTTGTTTTCAGTGTTTAAGAGGTCGACTTCTGCCTGAGCAATTTCGGCTGACATGTCCCTTCTCGTGACTCATGTGTGTGGGTTGGGATAACATATCTATTGCGAGTTTAAGTATTCACAGAATTTCTGTTTTCGTATTGATATCATTACTAGTTTCGTATATTGATATGATACACGTTTAATCTTTGGCGGCTCTGTTTAAAAAACTTTCGAGTAGCTGTCCATCTCTCAGAAATAGAGTTAGTTTGGCCTTCGCTATTGCATCACTTGGCTTTAGGAGATCTAAGACAGATTGCGGATCTAACTTCAATTCTTGTCCCGGCAGGGGCGGTCGGCCGGCCTAGTGGTTAAAGCGTTCGCTCGTCACGCCGAAGACCCGGGTTCGATTCCCGACATGGGTAAAATTTGTGAAGCCCATTTCTGGTGTCCCCCGCCGTGATATTGCTGGAATATTGCTAAAAGCGGCGTAAAATCAAACTCACTCACTCACTCTTGTCCCGGCTTGGGCATGGTCTTGACATTCCAATAACAGTGAGTGAGTGAGTATGGTTTTACGCCGCTTTTAGCAATATTCCAGCAATATCACGGCGGGGGATACCAGAAATGGGCTTCACATATTGTACCCTTGTCTCGAATCGAACCCGGGTCTTCGGCGTGACGAGCGAACGCTTTAACCACTAGGCTTCCCGACCGCCCCCATTCCAGTAACAAGTGAGCGATGGTTTTAGGTTGATTGCAATATGGACATACCTTTTCGTAGTGTTTATTAAGGGTGAAACGATACACCGATATTCCGATGCATCGCGATATTTGACCCACGATACGATATACGATAAACGTGGGCCCATTTATCGATACGCCACGATACGAAACGCAAATCCCAAGTACAGCGTTTCCTCGCTATTGTGCCTTTCAATAAACCGCTAACTTGGTTATAGCGCGCTCTAACGCATGACTTACATTTTTGATAAGCTCAGGTTTTACACCGACAGATGTTTTTCCCCATCTCATAAAACATTATCAGCTGATCACCGCAAGCACATAACACCGAAAATACCAGTCAGCAAACCCGAACTGAAGTACGCAATTCAATACCATTATTATACTATCTCGTTATTAAAACGTGTTCATTGTATATCTGGACTTGTGTTTGCCATATATTTTATTAATCTTATTCAAAATTTCCTTTAATATTGTTTTCATTAAGTTATGTGAAATCGTGTGTGAAGAGATACAGCAACCACGGTCTGATTACCGCTTTTGACGCATTGAAACGAACTTAAGTTGCTAGAGAATGGATACATATATTATAAATGCCATACTTTGACTCATTAAAAGTCATATTTGTGGCAATTTGGTTAATATTTGTCAACATAACGTTTTCGCAATCGAAATACATGTAGCACGGGAAGTCCCTAGGGTGACTGGTCAAATTGTTCGAAATTCAATACGTAAATGTGGGAGTAATATAATTTTCATATACCCAATATCCCTAATTTAGCTCAGTGCCCCTGATCTAACTGAAGAAAATGAGTATATCCATGTAAGCCACCAAAGGAATAAGTTTTTCTCTGATTTGTTATTATGTTCAACAATATCATTGGCCCTATTATTTGTCTGTTTATTCATGCAGTCAATTGTTTGGGGTTCGTCTGTAGGAGCCCGAGACATATGAAAAGTAGATTTTTGCTGAAAATAAATTAATTTGGATGAGAGCCACTGTAAAATGTGTAACATCAACAGGTGATGTAATAGGTCAATTTCAACACATCATCATCATCATCATCATCATCATCATCAACCCGATGTGCATCATTAGTAATACCATCATCACCAGTATTATCTCATTTAGAAGTTTCCTTTTCTGGAATACAATTCTCTGCATTGTTATAATGTTCAGCAATATCATTGGCCAAGCACAGACCCCAGTGGCATGTCAGCCTTCCTGCATCTTGGTCTGGCTATTTTCCCATTCAAAATTACGTGTTGACTACTATTAACAACTAATGTAAATAGTAAGGCAATTAAGCAATAGCCTTGTTATACCACAAGTCCACTGTGTCATACATGATCAACAGAGATCACAGAGCACAACACAATAGTTCTCTGTGTTATCTGAAGCTGTGTCAAATTTGATGATAAAGTTCGATTAATTGATGAACAGGTGAACAATCAGCTGGAAACAACGACTGATACTTCTACAACTTGTTCTCATGAAAGTAATTCTTTAAATGTTTGAACACATCTTTCTCAAACAATTTTCCCGAACAGCTAATGAAATCAGTCTATTAATTAGAAACGATAGTGTGATCGCCTTTCTTAAATAATGGCTTGATGTTTGCTTTGTACACTCTGATGGAAGCACATCCGACTGTACTGACATATTTAACAGTGCACGCTTCGCTGATAATTACTAATGAAAAATGCAGATCCTATGACAACGTTTATGACAGTGACAATGCTTGTCACGTATCGATTTACGTGATATGACTCCTGGAAATATGAACTGATTCCTACCAACCATCGGTAGACACACACATATCGTATTCCCTACAATCAGCAAAGAAGGTAAGTCTATTTCCCTACAGCTTTCATATTTCTTTCTCAGTCTGTGAATCTTACCGTCGTTAAACATTGTCATTAGATTACCTTGCATAGCCAAAATGTGTGACATCTAAATGTTCAATATAATCTGACAATAATATGGTCCAAAGAAGAAACTGAACACATTGTGCCTTTGTTTGGACACAATAACAGGTCTTTTAGTTAACAAGTAGGCTAAAACTGACAAGTTTGACAATGAGTTAATGGCAACGTTGGCAACAGACGAATGCAGTCAGAGCCCATCCTCGGAGTGGCAGGCCACGCGTAACCAATAATCGACAAGACAACTGGATTCGAACAACACCCCTACGAAATCGATTCCAGCCAACAACAGTGACTGCAAGAAGAATCCCTGGCCTTCGACGTCGTCGTCTCAGATGCGCAGGGATTGTCGCCAGAAGACCCGCCAGACGTTTGACAGGAAACCACCGTCAAGCACGTCGACAGTGATGCAGCCAGCGTCTACGCTGGACTGTCATGCAGTGGGGACAAGTTCTATTCACTGACGAAACATGCTCCAGCAGATATGGACAGATATCCCACAGGACAAAGCGATATTAGCACCAAGGTGATCGTTAGTCCCATACTTTAACATAGGTTTACGATCATCGTAGTGCTAAGATCGCTTTGAGGAACGGGGCCCTGGTCCATTCCATGAGACGAAGATGTGTTGCTTGCATCGCAACCAGAGGTGGACACACGCGCTATTGATTTGTAAATTGATATTTTGGCATGTTCATGTTTTTTTGTATGAAAACACGCATTTTCTGAAGTCAGTATGGCAAATTTAACCATTTGAACACTTACAGGAGTCTTTTATGTGTTGCAAACCGAAATTGTTTCAGATTTGGTAAAAAACATAACTTTGCATTAAATCTTATTCAATGTCAAAGGAACTTTTGTTGTTCAGTATGTTACTGTAGGGGTTATGCATAAGTATTTGTGGACACCCGGTGCCATATCTTAATAGGCTGTCATTCATTGATTCAAAATTATTAGTTATTGTATTTTTATATCTAAATGTGCGTGTTGATTCAATAAACGTCTTGTGTTATCCGAGTCTTTCCCTATTTATATACAGTCAAGTCTCGTTAATCCGACAATCGGCTTTATCCGACACTAATGATGGGAACCGATTAAATCAGTGCTATTAAGACCCGTTAATCCGACAGTCTCGCATTCATCAGTCTCGTTCATCCGACATAATCATATGCACCAACAATGTCGGATTAACGGGACTTGACTGTATATACTCCGCACAAACAGAAACGCAAAAGTGATTTCAGATGTATATTTTATATATGATAATATTATAGATTAGCAACAGATGGTATGTTCAAAATTAGCACTCATCATTGTCATTGAACCATGTTTCAAATGGCATACATGGAACAGTAGATTTTCAAGATGAAGGTCGTATATTATCAATATCTTGTCTGGCCACCATTAGAGCCCCAAACTGACTGGTATCGTCGTCCCATGGAAGCAATCAGATCCCGAATTGTGGCCTGGGAAAAGGTCACCCACTCTGCCTGCAGTGCTTGTGCCAACTGTCGGAGGTTCTGTGGTTGCTGCTGACGGGCTTGCAGTCGTTGATCCAGTGCATCTCATTAATGTTCGATTGGGTTTAAAATCTGGAGACCTGGGAGGGCCATGGCAGGACCTGGATGTTGTGATTCCTGAAAAAAGAATTTCATCCGTGTGACGTAGAAGTCTGTTCTACCATCATCACACGATAACAACCTGCTCTGTCCACTTCCTGTTTCGAGCATAACGATCCCCGCGACGCCTGTAAACACGACGTCTATCTTGAACACGACGAAGAATACATCATGACTCGTCACTAAACCAAACCTGTCGACATCGCAGTTGTGGCTGTACTCTGTGACCTTGACACTATTGACGTCGCAGCCGACGATACAGGTCCCTCAAAACTGGCCGTCTAGCGCGAATACCTTCAGCTGTAAACGGTTTCTCACTGTCTGGGTGGATATCCTTGCAATCCTGGTATTGCCGTAGTTATTGAGTGGCCGTTGGTGGTTCTTTCACGTAATTGAGGTAGCCGCATGAATCTGCCCTCTGCTCCCGTTTTGTCCCGTGTGTCTGATAACGGTTCCACAGTCTTGTAATGGTGTTTGGTGCTACATGGAAATATCTGGTTTCAGCTGAAGGGGATTCTCCTGTTTGCAGTCGGCCGGTGACGTTGTTGCGTTGGGCTTCCGTCAGTCGTGGCATGTTTTCGTTGTTCATATGCTGTAAGATTGTGATGACATGCAAACGTAAACCAACGTTTTGTATAGCCCAACAAGTGATGTTGCACGCGCATGTCATGTTGGTGTGTTTCGGCGCCAGGGACTCACGGGGTTGTGTATTTGCGATTTTCCCACCCTTTCTCCAAATTCTGCTGTACCACATTCTTTCCACAAAGATCAACCCCAAAGTATGCAGAAATGACCAATTCAGTTTTGGTATAGATTGTGTAAGGATGTCGGCAACACTTTGTCAGGTATTTACGATTTCTTCTTTTTCAGGGCATTTAAAATGAAATGGACCGAAGAAATTCATTTGCTTACATAACGTAATGATAAATGATACATATACACATATTCATTGTACATAATGAGATCCGTGAAGATTCCGGAGTAGAATACGTCTTCAGCAACCCATGCTTGTCGTAAAAGGCGACTAACGGGATCGGGTGGTCCGACTTGCTGACTTGGTTGATGCATGTCATCGATCCCAATTGCGTGGATCGATGCTCATGATATTAATCACTGGGTTATCTGGTCAAGACTCGATTATTTACAGACCGCCGTCATATAGCTGGAATATTGCCGAGTGCGGCGTTAAACAACAAACCAACCAACCAACTTTAACAATAAATAAATAAACAGTTCAGTATCAACACAGAGACTTCTTACCTGTTCTTAAAGCACTATGGTCAACTGCAAGAATCAGGACGCAGGGGAAATTGTTTCGGATCCTTTATTTGAATAAGATATTCAATGTTTTCCAAATGAAACATAATCAACGGCATATTTCCAGGAAGTGAAGAGGAGCCAGGAAGGATGACAGACACACCAACTCCCAAGGTAGCTACTACATTGAAGAAACAGTTCGGATTGGTCAGTGCAACGAGCTATATCACGGGCTCTATCATCGGTGAGTCAAAGTGCCAGGCCAAGCCACTGACAAAATCAGTGGTGAATCACAATGCCAGCCTACACCACAGATACCATCATTTGTGGGGGCACGGGTGGCCCAGTCGTCTAAGGCGCCGAGATTCGCTGTGCAGAGTTGCGTCCCTTGGGCACGCAAGAAACTTATGATTGTGGGTTCGAATCCCGGTTCGCCCCGATTATGTTTCTAGGTTTGTCAGCTCCATACCCGTGGGTTTCACTGAAGTGGTAAACGTCTGAGACCTGCATCACTTCGGGCTTTCCTCCCACATTAAGCTGACACGCCGCGATATAACTGGAATACTGTTAAAAGCGGCGTTAAACCCAACTCACTCACTCACTCACTATCATTTGTGGTGAGTCAGTGTGTCAAGTTACAGGGCAGGCAATATCAATGGTGAGCCAGTGTGTCAAGCCACAGTCACTATCATTTGTGAATCAGTGAGTCAATCGCGTTACAGGAGGGGCAGTATTTCTGATGAAATAGTTTGTCAGGCTACGTCACAAGCACTATCAATGAGTAGTCACTGTGGGGTCACAGGTTTAATACAGTTTTTGTGACATGCTCGAGCATGGGTATAGTACTGACGGATCGTGTGTCATGATCAAGGTAAAACAACGACCAGCAGAAGATATGTACACACATATATAAATTATTTTAAAAAGCTGTTTTTGCTTTTGATATATGTCATTCATCATTCTTCCCATTATTTTTCCTCGCACATGTAGCTGACACGACGTGATATACTTGGAATACTGTTCATAGCGGCATTAAACCCGACTCACTCACTAACTCACTCTTCCGGTTATAAATAATTCTTTATATTCCTATCAGGAACTGGTATTTTTATCAGCCCGACAGTCATACTGGAAGGGATGGGTTCTTCTGTTGGCCTCTCTCTCCTAGTGTGGATGCTGAGTGCAGCTGTCTCATTCTGTGGTGCCATGTGTTATGCCGAGTATGGTGCGTCTTCTGTTAACACACGTATATGCAATATTACACCCATTTTATATATTATGAAGGTCATGTACTTATAACCCATAAATCTTTCAAGGTCTGAACGTTCGTATAATATAATTTAGGGTCTAAAATTGTACTTGTTCAAATAGGAACAAATGAAGTTCCTCACAAATTAAGTAACTTGAAGCAAAACTAAATCTAACAGCTGCTTTTCAATGATGCTCTCATCATGTTTTGCCTTTTGCGCTCAATTTAGTTAGTTTCGGTGGATAATCGAGATTAATTATCTTGACAGCCATGTGTTGTTGATACTAACACGTATTTGATTAGTGATCAAAATAGTGGCATACGACTAATATAACCACACACTTCGGTATTATCCCTGCCATCAGCTCAATAAGTAAAGTTATATCATCACATCAAAGTACGCTATTTGCTTCATAAGATAATACATTCTAACAAACGTATTGTGAAAACTAAAATCATTTAACAGTTTATATTCCGGGTAATACGAGTATCAAGTTTTGTGTGTATCTGTGAAATAGTATGCTGGACTAACCATACCAATTCAAACAGTTAACATTTTGGTAACAATGAAGACAATTATTTGGAAAGGATGAAGAAATTAACAGCAGTGGACATTTAGGGATGGGCACGTCGTGATAAAGTAATCTACCGGGCAAAAGAAAGTATACACCCATGTTTGATGGTCACTTATTTGGTAGGGGTATCGTAGTTGTGTTTTGGACGTTAAGTCTGCTGTGTTTCCACGACTGTTTAGTGCCAAGTAACGTTTTGATAACCTTTGAAACTGTTTGGTCAAACCCAATTTTCAGGTATATACTTTCTTATATTTCACCCATTTCACTATTGAACCAATGCCTGTTCTTACAATAATATACATGCACTTAACGATAAACGATAACGATTAAGTAACCATTGTATTACATTTCAGGAACGCGTGTTAAGAAATCGGGAGGCACGTATACCTATATCCGAGAAGGGTTCGGAGATCTCGCCGGGTTTATATACCTGTGGACTAACTTAGTACTACTTCGTCCTTTGTCCGTGGCCCTGTCGGTCTTGGTGTGTGCAGAGTACGTCATGAGGCCTGTCTTCCTGGCATGCCCTGATCTGGCGCCCACAGCAGCTAAAGTCATGCTGGGATTTCTCGTAGCTGGTAATATACACTTGTGTAATAATGTGTCACTCATCTTTATTTGATATCATTGTAGATCACCTGCTTTAATGTTCATGAGTGTATCACGAGTTGGTGGGTCGGCAGCAATCTGATTGCACGAAACATTCTGTTTAAATGAATTTGGAGCCAGGCAATAGTTTTGGCTAATCACTGCAAAAGAATACTTGATCATATCCCAAATTTGAAAACATCGGCTTGTGTACATTTGAAAAGAGAGTGCAACGTGAAATTACCACTAAACTATGTGTAGTTTCTGCTTGCGTACATTTGAAAAGAGAGTGCAACGTAAAATTACCACTAAACTATGTGTAGTTTCTGCTTGTGTACATTTGAAAAAAGAGTGCAACGTAAAATTACCACTAAACTATATGTAGTTTCTGCTTGTGAACACTTGAAAAGAGAGTGCAACGTAAAATTACTACTAAACTATATGTAGTTTCTGCTTGTGTACATTTGAAAAGAGAGTGCAATGTAAAATTACTACTAAACTATGTATAGTTTCTGCTTGTGTACATTTGAAAAGAGACTGCAACGTAAAATTACCACTAAACTATGTATAGTTTCTGCTTGTGTACATTTGGAAAGAGAGTGCAGCGTTAAATTACTATATGTAGTTTCATTTCTCACTTGCATCATGTGCAGGCCAACGACTAATCAATAACATCCAAACATTTTCTTAAACGTACTGCCCATAATAAGCTGACATGCCGTGCTATAACTTGAATACTGTTAAAAGCGGCGTTAAACCCAAATCACTCTCTTAAACGTACTGCAATACAGAATATGTGTATCCCAGTTCGAGGGGGTGTGTTAGCATGTTGAACATGCATATGTTAAAAGCAGCTTTATTTGTTAGGGACTATAATTATTTGTTAGGGACTGTATATTCCACAGACGCCAAATTGTATTTCATTTTAGCAATTGGCTGATAGAAAACACGGATAAGATTTTTCTCTATATGTAATAATATATACTTCCATATCAACCGTAAAAGTGGAAACACACACGTAGAGATCAAATATTCATATTTGGTTGCTAGGACATAGGTCCAGATGAACTAAACTACTTTATCATTTAACTAAAGCATTTATCCATGACATAAGCTTATGACATAAAAACATGTATGTCATACCCCAATGACATAAGTATGCAAATTAGATATTCAAATTAGATAACCGGAAGTGGGACCTTTTTCGCCGGTGCACGTGAGTAGGTGTTAACAAACAACATGGATACCTTTGATGTTGGAGACATTATTTCAAGTATTCTGCAAAAGTCTGTTCAAGTATTTTGTTTAAAATAATCCGAGGAACTTTTTTTCTCAGCGAAGGAATATGTCATAAAGACGTTAAGAGGTTGTTTATTTTGGTTTACACGGCTATGGAAAACATGTATCACTACGCACGATCTATACGTAAGATTTCGACAAGTTGCTGATGTTAATGTTTAATGCAATTATTCCTTAATTGGGAAGCAAAAATGTGAAAATGATAAATAGAATTCATCACTCGTGTTTTTTAATATGGGAAATATCAACCTCGTCCCGTTAATCGGTATTTGCCTCGCCAAAGGCTCGGCAAATACCGATTAACTAAGACTCGGTTGATATTTCCCATATTAAAAAACACGAGTGATGAATCCTCTATGTATGTATAAAGAGCGTTGTATATATCTATTTCAGGCTTGTTCGTCGTGGGCAATTTGTACAGTGTACGCCTTGCAGCCAACACACAGACTATAGTGACTGTGTGTAAAGTCACGGCCCTGTCCGTCGTTATCGTGACTGGGATCATTCACTTAGTGCAAGGTACGTCACAGGCAGAGAGTGAGTGAGCTCGGTTTAACGCCGCTTGGAACAGTATTCCAGTAATATCAAGGCGTGTTAGCTTAATGTGGGAGGAAAGCCCGAAGTGATGCAGGTCTCAGACGTTTAATACTTTTGTGAAACTGACGAACACGGATATCCAGTAGTGCTGACAAACCTAGACACATAACCGGGGCGAACGAGGATTCGAACCAACAATCATAGATGTCTGGCGTGCCCAGCGAATTGCGGCGCTTTCGACGACTGTGGCATCGTGTCTCCATTGGCAGAGCAAAACATGGACTTTATCTATCTTATCTATCTTGCATCTTGCAAAATGCATCTTCATTGCATACACATACAATCCTTTTATTCAGTAGCATGTACACAGTTTTAGAGATGACATTTTGTTGTTGTATTTTGTTGCCGATTGTCTTTCTTTGTTTACTTGTCTAAGTCAGAGCCTTTAAGTTCAGTATATGGCCCAAGAATTAGATAAGCCGGTGTTAACAAAGAACATGAAATATGTTCCATATACATGAGACACGAAACATTATTTGAACGATATATATGTAATGTAATGCAAAATAATACAAATTAACGCAATAATATGCAATACATGTACAATGCAAAGCAATTTATATGCAGTTTAGTGCGATGTAATATGGCATATTTCAGGCAACACAGAAAACTTCAATGGAGCGTTCAAAACCATCAACTTTAAGCCGGGTGGCGTGGTACTGGCGTTCTATGCTGGGTTGTTTGGATACACTGGCTGGTAAGCTACAGCAGAGAATCGACATAGCAAAGTACCCAATAGGTACTATCTACAGAATAATACATTCATATCACACAATATATGTTGCTTTTGGAATGTGAGCTAAGTCCAATACAGGGGGTATTTTACATATATATTTTAAACTGGAATAGTGAGTAAGTGAGTGAGTATGGTTTTACGCCGCTTTTAGCAATATTCCAGCAATATCACGGCGGGGGGACACCAGAAATGGGCTTCACACATTGTACCCATGTCGGGAATCGAACCCGGGTCTTCAGCGTGACGAGCGAACGCTTTAACCACTAGGCTACCCGACCGCCCCTTAAACTGGAATAACAAACGTTAACTGGAGTGTTGAAATGCTGAAGTAACAATACTCTTTTTTCGAAGAAATCTGTTCAAAACATAAATATAGCTGGAAACAGAAATATAGTTCCCTAAAAAATATATTGAAATTCAATGAACTATTCATAACTTTATCATACTTGGTGAAAGGTTTCGCTCGATTTGCCGGTTTCGATTCTTCATATTGGTGCAGCCTGGTGTCCCCCGACGTAATATTGCTCGGATGTTACGAACAGCGGCGTAAACATACTCATAACATTATTCAGTTGCTAAAGGTGATGTATGCACTGTCAAAGTAAAGGAACCCAGGCCCTTTATAATTGCCAGTGAAACAGGTTCTCGGCGATCAAAGGGGGTTAAGCTACCATCTGGCATGGACAAATGCTTCAATGGTGGATAAAGAGTCAACCAAATGTAAAGCGTGATATATCCAATAAATCTCAAGAGAGGTACGATGTATGGGCGCGTGGAAGATTTCACATTGCCGGGTTTGGAAGAGCCTAACAAGGCTTTAACATATGAGTGAGTGTGTGAGTTTGGTTTTAAGCCGCTTTTAGCAATATTCCAGCAATACCACGTCGGGGGACACTAGAAATGGGCTTCACACATTGTATCCATGTCGGGAATCGAACCCGGGTCTTCGGCGTGACGAGCGGCCGCGTCATACCAAAAGACGTTAAAAGATGGTACTTGTTGTTACCCTGTCTGGCGCTCGACATTAACGGGCTAAAACAAGGACTGGTCGGCTCGGAGTCAGTATACGGTGTCTAAGCGGGGTATTCATGTTAAACTGCGGCATGTTATCTCAGTGTGCTAGCACTATAAATCGGCACCAGTCCGGACTAGTACAAGCAGCCACACACACACACACACACACACGTGCATGCACGTCGCTATATAAGTGCAATAATCTTGGACGCGACGTTAAACCCAATTTCACCTCACCTTATCAATGAAGGACAATATATAAATTGTCAATGTAAGAAAATAACCAGTCTTTCTTGTCAGACTAAATTTGGCGCAAAGGGCATGGCTGTCAAGGTTCTTACGTTCTCATTATCCGCATTTGGTCTCCTGGTATTTGTGTAACAGAATCGTTGTGGTCTACAAACACACAGAACATGTGGACGTAATTTGATTACTGATTATAGGGGTTTGAGTCGAACAAAATAGGCGGAATAATATTTATCTTGACAATTACAACTGTGGCTCGGCGCCCTAATAACTGTAGTAAACAGATGGTATAATATGTGTTACAGGGATGCAACCAATGCAGCAGTAGAGGAGGTCATCAAACCTTACAGGTAATGCAGTCGCCCTGTGTGCAATGTGATGAGAATGACTGAACGTTGTTCAGCGCCGTCGCAGTTAGTAATACACTTTGGCCTCTTGTAAACAAAGACCGCCTCCGTGGCCTAGTGGGAGAGCGGAAGGTCCGGGGTTCGATCCCCGACCGCGTCATACCAAAAGACGTTAAAAGATGGTACCCTGTCTGGCACTCGACATTAAGGGGCTAAAACAAGGACTGGTCGGCTCGGAGTCAGTATACTGTGTCTGAGTGGGGTATTCATGTTAAACTGCGGCATGTTATCTCAGTGTGCTAGCACTATAAATCGGCACCAGTCCGGACTATTACAAGCAGCCACACACACACACACACACACACACACACACACACACACACACACACACACACACACATACACACACGTGCATGCACGTCGCTATATAAGTGCAATAATCTTGGACGCGACGTTAAACCCCATTTCACCTCACCTCACCTCTCGTAAACAAAAGCGACAGAATTACCATATTCATAAAACGTATCGGCCAAATGACTGATGGTACGATTCTGACTCTATCGCAAGCACGTACCTCAAAAGTTGTGAAATGTAGACACCAAGGGCGGGAACTTCCGGAATATTGTGCGACATTAAGGGACAGTTTTGTGGAGAGTGTTTTGTCACCCTAAATCTTTATGCATGGCTCTAATTATGAAACAGATGAAGCGGTCTCATTGGTCTCCTTTATTTCTAGTTCTGGGACCCGTTCCACAAAACGATCTTAGTGCTACGACTGTCGTAAGTCAGTGTTAAAGACCGACTTAGCGCTAAGATGGCTTTGTGGAACGGGGCCCTGCAGCTGGTGGGTAAATCAGTGGAAGGGACATTGCTATTTGATGGTTATTTAACGATATCAGGTAATGGATGTACATAAGCTTAAGTTAAACATCCAGGCCCAATTATCTTGTTTTGACTTTGCCCCATCAGAACAGAAAGACCAATTTATGTGCATTAAGAAACAGATCAGCAAGAAGGGGAGCGCATTGGTGCCCATGGGGATGCCTTGCCTAAATGTCGTCCTTCCAACTTTTACATAGATGTTATCAATGAGGAAGCATTTCACATGTTGTTTTAGTTTCCGAGTAAACTTCAAATGGCAGGGGCTTTACCGTTTGACAAATTGACCTTAACCACTGAAGAGTGATACGTGACTATCTGTCTATGGTCACCACGTTTAGTAACAAATGCCCTTGGATCAAGGTAAGATATCCATTTAATTACAAGATAGCTGGTAAATTGTTTAGTCATGCAAATAAACAAAGTTATAAATGGCATGATTACGTTTTCATATTACTTGTCTCTTTTAGTAATAACACAATTCATTTTGCAATTTTGAATATAAATAGAGTTGGGTGATAATTTCTTATAAAAATTCAAAAATCATGTTTTGCATGTCGGAATGTGAAACATGACAATATACTGAAAAGTTCCTGTGACATTGAATAAGATTTAATGCAAAGTTATGTTTTTTACCAAATCTGAAACAATTTCGGTTTGCAACAGATACAAGACTCCTGCAAGTGTTCAAATGGTTTAATTTGCCAAACTGACTTCAGAAAATGCGTGATCTCATAAAAAAACCATGAACATGCCAAAATGTCAATTTACAAATCAATATCGTGTGTGTCCACCTCTGGTTGCGATGAAAGCAACACATCTTCGTCTCATGGAATGGACCAGGCGTCGCACAAAGTCCTGTGGAATATCTGTCCATATCTACTGGAGCATGTTTCGAAGTTCCTGGAATATCTGTGGAACATGTGGTTGACGTCGAAAGCACCGATCCATCTCATCCCACATGTGCTCGATTGGTGAGAGATCAGGGGAGCGGGCCGGCCAGGGAATGACATTCACGTTGTTTTGTTGTTGAGAATCCTGAACAAAACGAGCAATATGAGGCCGGGCGTTGTCATGTTGAAAGGTATTGCCTGGGCCATGACGACGCAAAAACGGTAGAACAACAAACGGGTCCTCTGTCTTGCTGTCATCTCACCCCATACCATAACGTTGCCGCCCCCGACACTGGCTGAGGTGAAAACGAGACTCGTCAGTGAATAGAATTTGTCCTCACTGCATGGCCGTCCAGCGTAGATGCTTTCTGCACGACTGTAGGCATGCTTGACGGTGGTTTCCTGTCAAAATGGGACGCCTGGCGGGTCTTCTGGCGAAAATCCCTGCACATCTGAGGCGACGACGTACGGTTTGTGAAGATATTCGTCGAAGGCCAGGGATGCTTCTTGCAGTCACTGTTGCTGGCTGGAATCGATTTCGTAGGTGTGTTGTTCGAATCCAGTTGTCTTGTCGATTATTTGTTACGCGTGGCCTGCCACTCCGAGGATGCTCTCTGACTGCATTCGTCACTTGCCAACGTTGCCATAAACACCAAATGGTGTTTTTTTGTGGACGTTAAATTGTCTTGCAACATCACGTTGACTCGATCCTGCTTTATGCATACCAATGGCTCACAGACGCTCATTTTCAGACAGGCGTGGCATGTTGAATAATTGTGTATTTTTATATATATTTTTTTAGTGGTTGTTGTCAGCACGATGCTAAACAATGCCTTTTGAATCCCGTTAACGCACATGTCATGGAATGCAAGCTTTTCTGTTTTCTGTTGCGTTTTTGTGACTTGATTCCATACATGTACTACAATATTGAAAACCAAACTTGACTTGTTTGAAAAATACACTAAAATATTCGCGTCACAGGGGCTTTTGTTGTTGAGTATATAAAAGATCAAACATACTATTCTTGATTTCGGTACCATTTTGTATTATGGATCTCAATATGTATTGTGAATCTAACTACGCATAAACCACATAATACATACTTCCAACGTTGGCACCATGTGTCTGATAAACAAAACACCCATCTAAAGTACTGTCGGAAATGCTAGAAAACTGCTTTCCTGGCTTCATGTAATAAATAGGACTATAGTCATATGACTCTAAAAAGAGCATATATCAACATATCGCGAATTGACCTAATCTAGCCTGTCCTAACTGACATTGTGATTTCCCTTAAAATGTACTTTTACAGGTAAAATGATGATAAAACTTAGAAAATAGTCGTGTGTTGTCATGCATGTTTGGAATGGCCTATAACCTAAGACCTGTCCCGAGGTGATGACCTCACACCGTCCCGTGCATTCTCCCAGGTGCAAATGTCACCGAGTTGCGGGTGGTCTAAAAAGATTGTACTTAATTGGCATGCGTTGATGGGGTAGGAATTTAGGATATGTACTGCTTTGTATTTGCTTGGAAACATGATGGACTACTTAAGGGCTACGAAACGGGATGAGTATTGGGAGGTTGCGGTTTTGGAATCCAGAAGTATTTGTTGTTCTACAGATGGTTTCTTGAGGTAGCATTTATCTCCGCTGATGACGTATATGAATCTGTACTTTTGAATGTTGTGTAATGTCTTGCTACGACCCCGTTACACTGAGCCAAGATGGGCACAACAGGGTTGAACTCACAATATCTGACTGGCGTACGTAAGACAACGTAACCGTGTTGTGCCACCAGCACATATGTCTTGTGCTTTACTGGTTTCTGATTCAGCCGAATTTTCTCCATGAGTTTAACTTTCGTTTCATATGGTCTGAAGTCGAAAATGTCATATATTCCTCTATGGTCGCCTTCAGACTACGCATGGTTTGGGCGACAGTATCTGATTCCCTGACGTTATATTAACTGGCGTTATCCATGACAGTAATAGTGGCGTTGCTTAAAATGGGCAATAGCTGAAGTTCCAACCAGTCTATGAACACATTACCTCCTATAATTTCCTTATGAAAATCACCAGTTTTCTTTTTCGCCTCGACAACTAGCACACATCCATCAATAACCCATATCATGGGTTGCAGCGTGCAAAACAATGACAGGATTACCTTTATCTGATTGTACCATGGGTGCTTATTGTCCATCTGCCGATAGCCACATGTTGTCAGTGGAATGATTCATCAAGATAAATTATCTGGACGCCCTGACTGTGATAGTTATGAATGGTTCGGAGATAATGTGACCTCATAGACAGGATGGAATATTTCCCCTGAAAAGTGCTAGGTCATCGCCACGCGCAGTGTATCGAAATCCCATCTCTTGGAGAGCAATAGTTAGTGCAGTCCGGGAAACATTAATTGTATCTTTAATTCCTCCCAAATTCTACTGCAAGTCAGGGTTACCTTATGCTCATAAAGCTTGTACACTATACGTCTAATCACCCTGTATCAAAGCTGTCTAATATACTTTTACTTCCCAGTTTTGTTGTTGAGACCATAAGTATACCTGTTTTGTTTTCTTGACTTGATGGTATGAATTGAAAACCCCATAGCATGGGCAGTTCGGTAATTCCCCATATCAAAGTTAGTAAATGGTTTCCCTCTATCCCTCTAACGTATAAAGAACTTGTATAAATTTCCCAGTACAGACTCCATACCGTGTACCATGGTTATGGCCATGCAAGTGTAATGTACATTGCATCATGAGAGCAATGTTAACACGACAAACGCAGCGTCATTTTTACATTTTAGAAGATGCACATCTAGAATTTTCTCAAAATAATTTTTGTGCGTGGATAAGATGTTTTATGAAGACTGCATTATCATCATTATAACGGAGTCACGTGTGCATATTTCTATAGTCATCATTGGAATAAATGTGAACTTCCTGTTTTCGTTCGAATTTGTCTCCTGTATGCTTATCGATAGGACTCCTTGTGACTGACATACTTCAAACCACAGGTAGGGCGATCGGTAGTAACTCGATATTTCAATAACAACAGTCTGTGAAAAGTTATATTTTTAACAGGCAAAAAGCAGTTTTCTAGCATTTTCCACAGTACTTAAGTTTTATCTTCACAAACAACTTATTCCCAGTTATTGTGTTTCTAAATGGCATCAGTTTGATGATGTCGTATATGATACTCATTCATCGGAGCATTTTCAGTCAACTACGTATTTACCATTTTGTGATTGCTTTGATTTTCGATCTTTACAAACCATTTTTTCTCTTCTAGAAACATTCCCATTGCGGTTTTCGTAGGACTCGCAATTCCAACACTGATTTATGTCTTGGCAAATGTTGCCTACCACGCTGTCCTTACAAATGACGAAATTCTGTCCGGCATTGCAGTAGCCTATGTGAGTTATCGTTTCAAACACACTTCAATGATTATATAAATGATGTGGGAAAAGGATGAAGTGCGAAGGCTGAGTCAGGCTCGCAATCATGCATGAAACAACTTATCCAAGAGGGACTGGGTTTAAAATAAGCCTGGTCTCCCTGGTCTGTATAGGATAAACTAGTTATATACGCTTTTCGGTACGTTCCTCCAAAGTGAGATGATCGTCCTTTTTCAATCATCTTATATATATATCTATCCATATTCGCGCACGTTATAATACTTAAAAAATAAAGCGCTTCTGTGATCATGTTCTTGTTTAACATGTATTTCTTTTAAAAATGCAGCTCACTTTTATTCTTGAAACATTTATAGAAAAACTGTTGATTAATCGGACCGAAAGGCTTTTCAAAGAGTATTTATGAAAATTCAAAGACAATCGAAATTTAAAATTCAAATTTTTCCAAGCAATTCTGGTGTTCTGTTTATACATTATTGTGAAATGTCTGATTATATTCATCGCTCATTTTAGTTTGAAAAGGAAAGAATTGAGATGTGATCCTCATTGAAAGTGACACGGGTGTTTCATCTTCATCCTCAAGGTGTTTGGAGAGAGGAAACTAGGAGTCTTCAAGTGGGTTATCCTGGCGTGTGTTGCAATATCCGCAGGAGGGAACGTTAACAGTAACATCTTTATCTTTAGCAGGTGATACTTTCATCCTGTGCGTGTACATTTTCCAATGTTATACAAACATCTTAAGCGTTTTTCGCCTCTAAATATATGGCTTCGTAACAGATCGTTACTTCAAATGTTTGTGAAAACAGGAACGGCAAGATCTCTATATTTACCACGAGTTTGTGCGGTCAGCAACACTAATGTTCCAGAGTTATAGTCACCGCGAATGTGCATAGACAGAAACACCAAGGTCCCAGAGCGACAATCACAACGGGTTCGTGTAGACAGAAACACCAATGTCCCTGAGTTACAATCACAACGCATTTGATACACAGAACAACAATGTCCCAGAAATATATCCGCCTCGAGTTTGATAGACAGAAACACCAATGTTCCAGAACTACAGTATATGGACAGAAACACCACTTCAAGGCTAAGTTCACTATAAGTCTCGAAATTCCTTCTGGGCCTGCACACACCGCTTGTATGTACAGGCACAAACACAAATGTCTGCGGTACTGCAACCACCACGAGACGGACAAAAACACGTTTGCATCCCGTTGTAGCCATTAAGTTTGTTTTCACCAAATCCACATGGTTGGTATTTGACTTTGACGGATTATCAATTTATGTACACACGCGTAAGAGATGAGCTTTAAACAAACTACATAATTATATGACCATGAAAATTCACGAAATATGCAAGAACACATGTGATGTACATCGATATTGTGTTTTATTTTGAACTTCTTTTGTTCTGAACACATTAGAATAAACTTTGTGGGAGGCCGCGATGGACTGTTTCCACGGTTCCTGAGCATGATCAGTGTACGGAGAAGAACTCCACAACCGTCCATCATAGCACTGGTAGGATATTTCTACACAGTGAGGGCCATGGTGACAGTAGAAAAACGAAGCTTGTTCTGACATATAGGGTATCTCATTAGAAGTACCAAATTAAAAATATACTCAAAACATGTTGATTAACGTACCTATTTTACACGTTTATTATATATTCTGGATGTGGATTCTGTGGCTAACGTGATTTGTTTGTACATAATTTTCATATCAGTGTTTAACAAAAACAAATATCGATCTCGGTTCCATTTTGGTCAAAAATATACTGTTTCCTTTCAGTTTATACCGACGACTGTCTTCATGTGTCTCGGCGATGTCAAGTCTGTCCTAGGAGCCTATGTTTTCTTCAGGGTAGGAGGGGAATGTCTGGCTGTCGCGGCATTTTTCTTCATACGACGGAAACATGCAGCTGCCGACACTACCTACAAGGTAGCATTACAGTGAATTATGTTTTACAATGCTCACGTGCACCTTAAGACTGCGACACATTCATCAAATGTTGGTCTTTGGCGTATTATTTATAATTGTCGAACGAAATACGGGGTGTGATAAGGAACCGGTTTGTCCTGCTGGAAATATTAGCTTCTAAAAGTTTTTGTAATGAAATGAACTGACACGTTCATATGACTTACAAAAGCCTTTGTTTCTTTTTCTTATTCTTAGACTTGAAAGCTTTAGACTTGTTGCGTGATAACGTTTACGAGTATGGCTTCCATGTAAAACGGGAGATCGAAGAAATTTAAATAAACAAATAAATTATAATATAAATAAAGATTTATTTATTTATAAAGATTCCAACTGTGGTTCCCATTACAAACACATGCAATGGCATGTCAGTTGTTCACCTGAACAAAAAACGGGAACATATGATACATGTCAAAATAGGGAATTGCATCGGACACTGCATTGGTCACTGATGCGTCAAATGTAGAAATATCCTTCACATCTGTACCATTTTAATATTATGCTTTTCTATGTCTTTGAATGCTGTATCACAATAATCCTGAATGCACTAATTGAAGGACTCTATTTACAGAAAGTATATGAGACAAGTGGAATTGATACCATGTAGATTCTCAAAACGTTGCTCTCAAGGACTTGCTCGACCTTTTGCGATCTCACAAAAGAACCAACTTGAAATTAAATTTTGTCAAAACATTCCATTCCTTTTAACTTTGTACACCGCTATAGGATAGGAATTTCTGCTCGGATTGGAAAAGTCCAAAACAAGGTAAACCAGAAGATTAACTTGGCTTCAGCTAGGTGTATCGATGATCTGATTTCTTTCAATAACCATTAAAAAGCAAATCCCTTTCCACTGATTTACCAGCTTGAGCTAGAAATAAAGACACTGGTAGGACCGCCTCGTCTGTATCATATTTAGATCTTTGCATAAGGATTCGGAGTGACAACAATCTTTCCACAAGAGTGTATGGTAATAGAGAATCGGCTTACCAATTGTCCCTTTGTGTTGAGCAATGTTCCATCAGCTCCGGTCTTCGCTGCCTGCATGTCACAACTTTTGAGGTTCAATCGAACATGCTCTTTTGCGACGATTTCAAAGAGCATCATACTACATGTACTCTGCTCAAAGATGGTTTGATTGAGGTTGCAACATTTCAAAAAGTTTCAGAAATTTCGAAATTTGACGAAATAGTGTCGAAAATGACGTCCGATGCAATTCCCTTTGTTGACGTGTTCCACCCTTGTGTCTTTTCGGGTGGGCAATTGATTTACCTTTGTGTGTGATTGTGGCGGGTGCTTCGGTAGGGCAGTACGAGCTCACCTTTCGCAAACACCTGGTGTCATCACTACTTATATCGTAAACAGCGCTCATGACATTGTCGGACTCTGCTTCTCCATAAAAATGAGAGGGTTTTCCCGCTTTCCCGTGTTTTTGTCATTATTCCCTAGATGTTTCAATGGAGTTGAAATCTTGCCTTGTCCTCCCTTAGACTCACTGGGTGTTCCCTGGAATCTACGTTGTATCCATCCTAATGCTGTCCGTCACGGCGGTCGTCGATGACCCTGGCAAGTTTCTTCCCCCCTTCGTCATCATCTTGATGAGTGTCCCACTCTACTACATGTCGAGGAGTCGCTGGTGGAAGCGGTTACACCTCAACACTGTCAACAGTAAGTAAACCTACATCCGTCCCACTGGGTGCGGGATATCTCGACACAGTCAATAGTAAGTAATCCTACACGCTCATGCCGGACATCTCACCACAGTCGACAGTAAGTAACCATACCTCCCTTACTCTTCCTGCCGGACAACACACCACAGTCGACAGTAAGTAACAATACCTCCCTTACTCTTCCTGCCGGACATCTCACCACAGTCGACAGAAAGTAACCATACCTCCCTTACTCTTCCTGCCGGACATCTCACCACAGTCGACAGAAAGTAACCATACCTCCCTTACTCTTCCTGTTGGACATCACACCACAGTCGACAGTAAGTAACCATACCTCCCTTACTCTTCCTGTTGGACATCACACCACAGTCGACAGTAAGTAACCATACCTCCCTTACTCTTCCTCTTGGACATCACACCACAGTCGACAGTAAGTAACAATACCTCCCTTACTCTTCCTGTTGGACATCACACCACAGTCGACAGTAAGTAACCATACCTCCCTTACTCTTCCTGTTGGACATCACACCACAGTCGACAGTAAGTAACAATACCTCCCTGACTCTTCCTGCCGGACATCACACCACAGTCGACAGTAAGTAACCATACCTCCCTTACTCTTCCTGCCGGACATCACACCACAGTCGACAGTAAGTAACAATACCTCCCTTTCCCTTCCTGTCGGACATCGAAACCACAGTCGACAGTAAGTAACCATACCTCCCTGACTCTTCCTGCCGGACATCACACCACAGTCGACAGTAAGTAACCATACCTCCCTGACTCTTCCTGTCGGACATCACACCACAGTCGACAGTAAGTAACCATACCTCCCTTACTCTTCCTGTCGGACATCACACCACAGTCGACAGTAAGTAACCATACCTCCCTTACTCTTCCTGCCGGACATCCTACCACAGTCGACAGTAAGTAACCATACCTCCCTGACTCTTCCTGTGGGACATCACACCACAGTCGACAGTAAGTAACCATACCTCCCTGACTCTTCCTGTCGGAACACCACAGTCGACAGTAAGTAACAATACCTCCCTTACTCTTCCTGCCGGACATCACACCACAGTCGAGAGTAAGTAACCATACCTCCCTGACTCTTCCTGTCGGACATCACACCACAGTCGACAGTAAGTAACAATACCTCCCTGACTCTTCCTGTCGGACATCACACCACAGTCGACAGTAAGTAACCATACCTCCCTGACTCTTCCTGCCGGACATCACACCACAGTCGACAGTAAGTAACCATACCTCCCTGACTCTTCCTGCCGGACATCACACCACAGTCGACAGTAAGTAACCATACCTCCCTGACTCTTCCTGTCGGACATCACACCACAGTCGACAGTAAGTAACCATACCTCCCTGACTCTTCCTGTCGGACATCACACCACAGTCGACAGTAAGTAACCATACCTCCCTTACTCTTCCTGTCGGACATCACACCACAGTCGACAGTAAGTAACAATACCTCCCTTACTCTTCCTGCCGGACATCACACCACAGTCGACAGTAAGTAACAATACCTCCCTTACTCTTCCTGCCGGACATCTCACCACAGTCGACAGCACGGGTGGCCAAGTCGTCTAAGGCGCAGCGATTCGCTGTGCAGAGTTGCGTCCCCTTGACGCGCCAGAAACCTATGATTGTGGGTTCGAATCCCGGTTCACCCCGATTATGTTTCTAATTGTCAGCACCATACCCGTGCTCGTGGGTTTCACCGAAGTGGTAAACGTCTGAGACCTGCATCACTTCAGGCTTTCCTCCCACATTAAGCTGACACGCCGTGACATAACTGGAATAATGTTAAAAGCGGCGTTAAACCCAACTCACTCACTCACTCTAAATATGGACTGTTGCTCGTCAACGTACTTTCAGACTTTGTTCTTTTCACATGTAATACAGTTTCATCCACGGCAATAAAACCTATTGACTTCCGGTAAAGTTTACAACAACGCGTACGTAATTCCCTATTTTTCATAAAGCTGTTACCGGGTAGGATGATCACATTTACCTCATTTCCTTATGCTAGTTTCCCCTTACGATAAACCTTGTGACGTGAGCATTGGACATACTGATTAATCCTGGTGGAATTGTGTGTTTCAGAGTGGATCACTTTGATCTGTCATCGCCTCCTACTGTGTGAACACGCAAGTCAACGTATTGAATGAGAAAGAGATGCTCATATATATGTAGTTTCATAAATATGTAACTGAAGCTTAGCTAACATCATTCTCAATGATATGTTATCACTATCTTTCTTTTATCGTCGTAACTAAAATCACATAAAAATGTTTAGCGGTTCTCTCTTTAGTATATCTCATTCAAACTTCCGACCCGTGAAGATCCGGGGTAGAATAGGTCTTCAGCAATCCATGCTTGTCGGAAGAGTCGACTGGCGGGTTCGGGTGGTCAGGCTCGCTGACTTGGTTGATGCATATCTTCGATCCCAATTGTGTGGATTGATGCTCATGTCAATCACTGGATTGTCTGGTCCAGACTCGATTATTTACAGACCGCCGTCATATAGCTGAGTGCGGCGTTAAACAACAAACAACATAAAACTTCCTTGACCAATATACTCATCCTTACATCTTTGTGAAACAAACACTTGTATATTCAAAATATTGTTTGATTTCAAGATAAACAAACAGTACTCATATGCTGTTATTCTATATCATATTATACTTTTCATGTGAAACGAGCTGTTTGTTTTAAATATGCAAATGGGTTGGAACTGAAACATATGGTCGTCATATACAGTAAATGAAAGGTAAAAGATTGGGCTCAGAATACAAAGTAGTGTATTGCAAGTACAATCGATGAATTGTATGAAGCAGTCGTAAATTATTTCTTGTGTTTTTACAATATTGTTTACGGGGCGATCTCTGGGCTACCGCAAGATAGATACAATGTATGTTAGTGCGGTGTCTCGCCTTGGTATGTTAGACTGGGAGTAGGGTTTTACGACCTTTTAGGCACTATTCAAGCATTCTCACGGCGCAATACCCCACCAATGGGCTTCAATCATTTTACCCAAGCGGAGTATATATCGAACCGGACTGGACGGCGTGACGAAAGAAACGCTTAAGCCCGGTTACCCCATCGTCCCTCTTGCCTCCAACTTGAACACAGATTTCAAATCTTTTGTCATCAGTACTGTACCTTTATCACATGCTCCGCTGAATTTAAATGTATTCAGCACTTTACAATTTACAATTTAACATATAAATAAATTAAGATTTCATAGAGTATATATTTGTGTTTGTTACAGACCCACTTCCAAATTACATGCACATGTTATACAAAGCATCACTGTATGGCAGCTGCATGCAGTAATCCTTGTAACCCCTGACCAAGCCGTGTGTACACTTCCGGGCAAAAGAAAGTACACCCATGTCTGATGTTGGCTGAAAATATAACAAACTAGACAATATTCGATGGTGTAATTTTGATACGGGTATCATAACTGTGTGTTGCACCTCATGTTTGCCTTATTTCGACGAGGGGGCACGGGTGGCCCAGTCGTCTAAGGCGCCGCGACCCGCTGTGCTGAGTTGCGTTCCTTGGACACGTCAGAAACCTATGATTGTGGGTTCGAATCCCTTTCGCCCGGATTATGTTTCTAGGAGACTCAGCACCATACCCGTGCTCGTGGGTTTCACAGAAGTGGTAAAAATCTGAGACCTGCATCACTTCGGGCTTTCCTCCCACATTTAGCTGACACGCCGTGATATAACTGGAATAATGTTAAAAGCGGCGTTAAACCCAACTTATTTCGACGATAGGTTTCAGCTTAGAAACGTTTTGATAACGTTTGTAATCATTTTGTTAAATCCAAACTGTATACTTAATTTAGCCCAGCAGTTAAGTTCGTGCTACAGTTCAATATTTACATCAGGATTATGATGTATGATGTCTTCAGTGATAGTCGTCTGAGTAAATAGTTTCAATGCGAATAACTATGGGATGGGCTGTCGCTTTTTGACTCACTTGATTAACATGTAGATTTCAATGTAATACATGTGGGGTTATGTAATGGTACAAATAAAGCAAATGTGGTATATACACCCCGTTCATGGTTTCATCGAGTTGACTCTCAATGACAATAATAAGGAAACATTGACCGATATGCAACTGAAACAAGGAAGAGCAAACTGGACTCTTCCTCATGAGAAAGCCCAACAAAAGATCAGTAACTGGACTGGTGGCTATTTCCTTATCAGGAAGGTGACTTTAGACATCTCCACTTGAAATAAAATCACGAAATATTTCGATGATTAATTAACGAGTGAGTGAGGGTTGGGTTTAACGCCGCTTTTAACAGTATTCCAGTTATATCACGGCGTGTCAGCTTAATGTGGGAGGAAAGCCCGAAGTGATGCAGGTCTCAGACGTTTACCACTTCGGTGAAACCCACGAGCAAGGGTATGGTGCTGACAAACCTAGAAACATAATCGGGGCGAACCGGGATTCGAACCCACAATCATAGGTTTCTGGCGTGCCCAAGGGACGCAACTCTGCACAGGGGATTAATTAACAAAGACAGCTGCATTTGTGATGATACTTATAACGTGAAAACAAGCCATTCCGCCGATATGGAAATTTACTAACAGTAATGACAAAAATTGCAAAGTGCGATTTTCACGAAATATCCATTTTACTAGCGATAAACAACATTAGTGAGTTTTGATCATGTGGTTATAATCCGGGTCAGAATCGGCAGCGAGTGGTGAACTTTTTCAATAGCGCTTTAAGTACCATATCTGTGTTTTCCTTCAGTTTGTGCATGTGAGTGAGTGAGTGAGTGAGTTGAGTTTAACGCCGCTTTTAACAGTATTCCAGTTACATCACGAATCACCGGGATTCGAACCCACAATCATAGGTTTCTGGCGTGCCCAAGGGACGCAACTCTGCACAGCGAGTCGCGGCGCCTTAGACGACTGGGCCACCCGTGCCCCCAGTTGGTGCATGTAATGTGCGTCCACTGTACACGCTGCTAAATATAGTCACCTGACTGCCCAAGATGACCCGGAAAGTAAGTATTATCACACAAGCAGAGAGAGAGAGAGAGAGAAGAAAAAAAACAACCTTAATACATTTAATGAAACGAATTACTCGCCCCAATCGGTCCCATTTATCTTTCTCATCCACCATGCTGGTTTCAGTTGATTTATAGCGTTGCTGTTATTATATAACGTATTTGAAGCCGATGCATGACTACCAAAAATCCCAGGAAATACCAAACACAAAACAGAGAAAACGAACATCATGCCTTCAAGTATGGACAATTCTTTACACGAATTTTTTAGTAGTACAGTCCTCCCTGGTTATAGTGCCATGGGGTTTTTTTCAGAACGGATTTTCGCAGTGCAAAATTCCCTGGTTATTACGACTTTTTTTAAAACGAGTTTAAATGTTTATTGCGCCAAATCCCGTTGTCGAAATTGGATAACATGAACTAACAAAGTACAGTTGCACATCAGCTATATATCTCACGCACACAATTATTCCTGGTGTTGAGTTTCATACAATCATATCGTTTATCTGAAGCTTGCGTTGGCCTCAACTGTCACTTGTGATCTCACGGGGGGCACGGGTGGGCCAGTCGTCTAAAGCGCCGTGATTCGCTGTGCAGAGTTGCGTCCCTTGGACACGCCAGAAACCTATGATTGTGGGTTCGAAAAACCCCGGATCGCCCCGATTATGTTTCTAGGTTTGTCAGCACCATACCCGTGCTCGTGTGTGTCACCGAAGTGGTAAACGTCTGAGACCTGTGTCACTTCGGGCTTTCCTCCCACATTAAGCTGACACGCCGTGATATAACTGGAATAGTGTTAAAAGCGGCGTTAAACCCAACTCACTCACTCACTCTTGGGATCCCACAGCTGTTGCGGACATGAAACGTACACAACTCGTCCCGGACAGACTACAACACGTGTAGAAACTGAATCAATGGTCCCGATAACCTCCTCCATACAGCCAGTCGATACTGATACCTTTACACAGCTGAAACCTTCCTTGTTTATCACGTACATATCAAATAAAACTATCATATTTTCTTTTAAATAAAGATGCCCGAGCCTCTTATCTACTCATGACAAACATATCAGTTACACCATGTAAGTGTGCAATCATTTGTTTACCATTGATCTATTAATCCCACCATAAGACGTAAATACTCTCAAAGTGCTTCACGCAGCTTCGAATGTATGTCAACGAGTATTAAGGTTTGAATTATTACTGCTTTTAATGAAAATAATTAAATGTTACGAAATGTTAAGAAATTACTTGGATATATATTTTAGTTGCCTTAGATGTTGTATTTGTAGATGTAGTTGTGACATATAGAAAACACTGATATCACATCGTTTAGCGTTTCGTTTAAGACTATTGTGCTTATATACATGTAGTGTGTGTGTGTGTGGCCGTTTGTACTAGTCCCGCTTTGTGTTGCCAGGCCACTGAAGTACCATGCCCCAGTTTAACATGAATATCCCACTCAGACACATTATACTGACTCCGAGCCGACAGTCATTGTTTTATCCCCTTAATGCAGGAGGCAGGGTAAGAACAAGTACCATATTTTAAACGTTACGTATCTTTAAATAACCTTTGGTATAACGCGACCATGAGATCTCTAGGCAGACGCTCTTTTTATTACACTGCGGTCAACATCAGTTCACTATATATATTTAGTTTTGTTACAAGATTTTCTTTTCTCCGCGAGTGAGTGAGTATGGGTTTACGCCGCTTTGAGCAATATTCCAGCAATATCACGGCGGGGGACACCAGAAATGGGCTTCACATATTGTACCCATGTCGGGAATCGAACCCGGGTCTTCGGCGTGACGAGCGAACGCTTTAACCACTAGGCAACCCGACCGCCCTCGCAACAAGCGGCGTCAGGCAACAAATTCTTTCTATGCAAATTGTTTGAGTGGCGGGTGCTAGATTCCATTGGGCTTAAAAAGCAGAAATTACATGCATTGAGCCAAGATATCCAGTGATGACGCCAGGTGTTCGCAAAAAAGGGTAAGCATTTCCTGCTCTTTCGGTAGCACTCGCCACTCACATAATTTGTATAAATATGTGACGTTCCTTAACAGACACTGAACTAAGAATATACGTTGAATGCGTTGTTGTGTAGCAGTGTGATCACATATTCCAGTGACCCGTGAATAGATCTTCAGCAACCCATGCTTGTCGGAAGAGGCGACTAACGGGATCGGGTGGTCAGGCTCGCTGACTTGGTTGATACATGTCATCGTATCTCAATTGCGTGGACCGATGCTCATAATGTCAACCCTCGGATTGTCTGGTCCAGACTCGATTATTTACAGACCGCCGTCATATAGCTGGAATATTGGTGAGTGCGGCGTAAAACAACAAACAAAAAACATATTCCAAAAGCACGCGTGTCTCAGTAGAGTGAGGTGCTGCAACATTCAATTCGGAGCCCTCAGCATGCCAGAATCCTATTCTCGTGGGTTAGAATCCCAGATTCGCCCTGTTTGCCAGCACCATGCCTGTGTTTGTGGGATTCATCTACAACCTGCGTCAACTCCGGCATTCCCCCACATAAAGCTTACACACAGTGGCATTAATGAAAGCCCACTCAAAAGAGGCATTTAAAAAACCCTCCACGCACTGAGGTATTTTACAACAGTAGAAATCAAAAGACACGGCCTTGGTGTTGATGAATTAGTCTACTCAGTGAACGATCGTTTGTATGCCTAAATGGCCTTACTCGTTGTAATTATTCAGATGGAAATACCACAGCGCCATCACCGCTCATATCATTCACCACATGGGCAACAACTGGTGCTAGTGCTGGTGCAGGTTTCTTGATCCTGGCCATCATAGTTATCTGTGTGTAAGTCAGTCTATCAAATATTTTCTGGTAGTTTTCGTCAACTGTGTTACTCTTCATGTCAGTATGTATAATCACTCTGGTAGACAAGTGACTTTCAGGTCGCTGTGAACAGTATTTCAGTTACGTCATGACTTTGAATGTTGGAGGCAGAGTGGCGGCCATATATGATGGATGGCCAAATATAATATTCGTGACACATCTTGGATTCATGTCTTGGGGAGGCAACTGTGTAAAGCAAGCCGCGACGCCTCGGGTAATTGGGCTGTCAATATAAGGCGATAATAATGCGATACTCATTCTTATTAAAAAATAACACACACACACACACACACACACACACACACACACACACTTTCCCTCTCTCACAAACATTACCGAAACATTGCGAGTTTTCCTGGAATGCGCGCATTAATATTTATTACGTCACAGGGTAAGTGATGTGTCAGTCGGACAGTGACAGTAGCCAATATAGTTCCAACTGAAATCTGTTTCCTATACAGTGGCGAAGCAACATATACGTAAAACAACAGTTGTTTTTAATTGCATTTCGCGGCAATCCTTCGGGCCGTCCGCTAGAGTAACTGCCCTTTGTCAAAGGGAAGCTACTCTAACCCTAGTCTATGAGACGTCACGGCCACGGTCAGACGTTGTTGACAGTCGGTCTGTCCTGTCATATTGTTAGAAGTGTAGTCAGATGTACACATAGCGACAAAACGAAACAAGGTAACAATTCAAACATATTTCGGCCAAATCCAACTATTTTAATTTGTGGAGAAGGTTTCAAGCCGCAGATGTCTACAAGCACAGATATGGCTACTGATCCCGCTTGGCTAGGCCTCGTGCCCTCGCAAAATTGTTTCGAAATTTATACCGCCAAAGTAGCAACAACTTATAAAATGCCTTAGCTACGCCACAGTTAGACACTGATTTTCAGTATATTAGACTGTTCTTTTGATAATGATAGCAATCATCCCTGTAGTTTATCCAGATTCCCGATGGTAAATTCTGACTCGATCGCCGAATGACGACGGCGACGACGGCGACGCCATGTTTGTTTATAAACAGTGAAAGTAGTCCCTACTTGACCTTTGATATTTGTATCTCTATCCGCATATGACCCCAACGGATATCGTTTTTATCCGTTGGCTTTATCCTGCCGAAAAACCTACCCATTATATGATAAATTTATATATCTTCTATCAACCACAACTGAAACATATCTTTGAAATTTATACATCTGTATATAATGAGAAATTTACCTATGTAATTAGAAATGTAATTACATGGCTTGTATCTAGTTGCATGTGCATACCATACTGCATGTAAATGTGCAATGGACAAGGTGCCTAGCTATATGCACGAATAAACGTCTAATATTATACGTTCGGCATTATTTTTCAGATTATGCAAGTCATCAAAAGTATCAGTATTTTGCGGACATCACTATACACGATCTCTCCAAGCTGTTCAAGTAGAACCCATGGAAAATGAACAGACTCGTATGTAGATACCAGGGTATACCGGATAACAGGGGATATCATCAACCACGTTTTAGCCGTGGCAATCACTGTAATTGTCCTTGCTGATTAAGGTGACTGAGAAGATATGCGGTGCATACTTACAACGGATTGTTTTATACCGTTTGCAGAAATGTAGTGTCAATAAACCTAGCCTGAATTGTAATACGTTTATATTATATTTCTGGTTTTGGGTTGCTCTTGGGTTTGGATAATTGGGTTTAAAATTAAGGAGTCCTCAGAAGATGACAAATCCCGCCCCCCCCCCCCCCCCCCCCCCCCCACGTTTGGATGATTAACGGTTTTTAAGATAATATGCTCTGGAAACGAAATACGGAAGGACACACACACGCACACGCACGCGCACACACACACACACACGCACACGCACACGCACACGCACACACACACCACACGCACAAAGACCCCACCCACCCCGCATTATGTGTCGGGAGGATAAAAGGTAGGAGATAATGAAATATTAATGTTATTGGAGCAAAGATAAGTGTTGACAACACAAAAACACATGCGATTGTTTTCACGTGCTGCACGAAGCAGCGCCACGCACGTGTGTTGGGTATCATTCCTGATTTAAACACTTAATGGAAGGAAAACTGCTGTAAACTGTCACAAGTCAGCATCGATTGATCCGAAACCAGACTCTACGAAATCGAGCTCAAACGGCGAATCAAACTGCTGAACACTTTCATCATGCTGATGGAGTACGAGTTAGGAGTCACACGAGTAGAAACACATCCTATCACATTGCCAACAGACGTCAATGGTGTACACAACGTCGAAAATGGGGTAATCGTCGTTGGGCACTTGATATTTTCAGATGAGTCCCAATTCACATTGCACTTCCTTCATAGGTGTGGTCGTGTCTGGCGACGTCGAAATGTCGGCGAGCCAAGGTCCTGAGATCTCATGACAGATTTGGCTGTGGATCGGGTATGGTGTGGGATGGCATCATTATGACTGAGCGAATCCCACTCCATATTGTGCAAAGAAGGGTCCCTTGTCCCGTTTGCAAGGCGTGTGGGTCGACGTTTTGTCTTTCAGGGCGACGATGCCCGTGTTCACCGTGCACGAATCGTCAATGCTCACCTCCAGCAGCACAACATCTATAGAATGCCATGGCCAGCAATGAGCCTGGACGTTCCGACATTTGACACGTCGTCTGGGACATGATAGGCAGACACGTGCGTCAACGTCATAGGCAGCCGAACACGTTGGCTGACTTTGGCCAGGCGCTGCAGAAGGAATGGGACAGACTCCCTCAAATCGCCACCACTGACACAACAGCTTTGAAATTTCCCTTCTTTCCCCTGTGATCCTTCAAGCTCGTTAACATCTACAGTCATACTTCACTACCGGTTGTCATGTGTTCCCAATTCGTTCATTCTTGTCATTCAACTATTATTATAAACTAATATCTCTTAGAATTTTGGAACTTTTAAGTTATTTCCGAGTATCCTCTGCTTTTGTAAGAGTATATATGTTCATGGAAACGAACAATATAAAAAATAGGGAAACATACTGTCAGTACATATACAATAGCGCGCATACACATTCAACACGTCAGAATTATATGGTGAGATGTGTTTGTGTGAAATGTTTCCAACGTGTATTTGGTAGACAAGGCTGGGAACCAATGATAGCATATGATTTTACTGGGTCGAAAACTATGTGATCCCCATATTCATTTCCATCAGAAACCACCTCCGTGGTCCAGTGGTAGAGCGTCCGCCCGGAGAGCAGAAGGTTCTCGGTTAGATCCCCGGCCGAAATGACGTTGAAATATTGGTACTTGTTGTTACCTTGTCTGGCGCTTGAAGTTGCGAGGTAGCCCATTGCTACCCGGTTTTTTTTCTTTTTATACAACATATACACATGAATATATATGCTGCCTCACCTTTATGTATCTTTAACAATGCGCTTCGACACACTAGACGTATACCGCGCGATACATGACAAGACAGATGTGTTTGGACCTGATTCACACTTGCTGATGGGATACAAATGAACCCTGGTCATAATTAATTTGTGTGTTCTCAATATGTATCCATGTCAGACACACTAAGAACAAATATACGTCCTTGAATGTCAGCAATAGTACATATATGTGATTGATCACTTTGTGAGAGTTTATATCTTTACAATATTGAAGCTATTCAGGTATGTTACAAAAGGTTTTGACGCTTTTATTATTCGACAATGCTATACAGAGCATAAAGGATAGACTTTCCTCGTTAGAGTCGTGTTAGGGGGCACGGATGGCTCGGTCCTCTAAGGCGCCGCGATTCGCTGTGCAGAGTTGCGTCCCTTGGGCACGCCAGAAACCTATGATTGTGGGTTCGAACCCGGTTCGCCCCGATTATGTTTCTAGGTTTGTCAGCACCATACCCATGCTCGTGGGTTTCACCGAAGTGGTAAACGTCTGAGACTTGCATCACTTCGGGCTTTCCTCCCACATTAAGCTGACACGCCGTGATATAATTGAAATAATGTTAAAAGCGGCGTTAAACCCAACTCACTCACTCACTAGAGTCGTGTTAATACAATTCAAATACACAACGGGTAACAGAAACGAATAATTTGGAATTTCTATTCTGTTATCTAAGACACGAGCAAAAATTTTGATATCAATGGTTGTTTCAAAACATTTCATGGTAAAAGCACAAACCCAATCACACTTGTCTGTCACAATGACTTCCGGGTCCTTTTGAAATAAATCTTATTTTAGTATTGAAGTTTGCGCAGCTATTTCTGTAGTGTAATCGCTACAACATCATGGCGTGGTAAGTCTTGTAACCTTTCTCTAGATCGTGTTATTGTTATACGCATATAAAGTCATTATTAATCCCCTAACAACTAGTATATATTTGTAGAAAGTACTTTGCTACCGTTTTATATTTAGACTTATTCAGCCCACGTTTTTTTGCCTTGATGGCCATTGATGAACCTGTTTCAAAACCACATCACATATCACGATGTACCGAATATCAGGTCGTTTATATAACAGTTACTGTATTCATATGGCAATTGACAACATATTGAAGACAGTCACGTCTATCATTTGGCCGTCAATGCCATGATGCAATGCCGTCATTGAAGCTGGTTCAGACAAAATCGATATTTGTCAACCTGCACGTGTCAAATGATATACAGTAAACTACGGTTATAACGAACACTCTTATAACGAACTGACGGATATAACGAACTTACTTTTTGGTCCCGACTGTTTGCTGTAGTTATGCTGTATATATGCTTATAACGAACTACGGTTATAACGAACTAAAATTAGTAGTCCCTTCCAGTTCGTTATAACCGTACTTTACTGTAGTTTGAATCAATTGATTAAAATCTCTTCTATTCTTATGATGTCTGCGTGTGTAAATGTACCCACGTTCCTTTCTAGTCAATGTTAAACATATTTCATTTAACAATTGATCACATAATGATAGTTTCACACCAATCTAAGCCAAATCTCAACCGAATTCATAAATCATCTTTTCGAGGGAGGTTTCAGTGATTATCGTTTGCTGTATGTATATATATGTACATGTATATGTCATAGTTGTTTCTTATGTGTAGGGTGTGATCTATGTTGCAATGACATTATTATATTATTACTAGTACATGTGTGCATTCTAAACTGTCTCTAATGAATCCCCAAACGATTAGTATACACACTTCATATTTCACATTCCTCTCGTCAGTGTTACATTACCGTCATAACAACTACTTCGTGACCAAAGCAGAGATGTTACTGTAAGGGGAACTATTTCCGAGAAATTTCTAAAAGTAAAACCATCGCATAGAAATTGTTTTGAATAATTATATCCTTATACGTGTATGCAGGGGTGGCTGAAAAGTTTTATGGACTGTGTTGCTATTTTTTTTTATTAACATTAACATCCCTGCACACACTTCCGGGTGGAGTACCTACTGTATTGGCAGTTTGACATATGGTGAATCCTCGAACATTCATTTATTTATTAATTGATTATTTTATCACCATTTTCCTTAGTTGAGCAGTTGGAGGTCTTCCTGATCTTGGACGATCTTTGAGGCTCCTTCTTTTCCCCCATGCCCACCTCTTAACAGTGGCAAACGTTGTATACCAGGAATATTGCTGAGTTCGGCGTTAAACAACACAAAGACACACAAACACACATAACGACAAGATATAAACCTCATATTTAACAACAATTATTCAGATGCTATTGAGACATGATGTATCATTATGTCCATGAGTTATGTAGTCTATAACGATAACATAACTTTTAGATTACTTTTCAGGATGTCCTTTACATCATTTTCCTCGGTACTGCCGAAATGAATCTCTTATATCATAATAAGTACATTGAGGTATGATTATTTTGTTTGTGTACATTTAAACATATTGAATTGAAGATGCATTGGATTGACTCATATTAGCTATTATGAATGGCAAAGACGTCTCATTGGATCATCTCTATAGTTAACGTTTCATTCACAAACTGTCGTCTCACAAGCTGCGGAACATTACTTCCAAACAGGAATGGATGAGTAAATACTAGTATGCAGATCCACACACCAAGATCTGGTTTGGAGAAAGAGACATACTATTACTAACACTGAATTATTCATCGTTAGAATATACCCGAATCCTGAAAAGAGAAAGAGTAGAATACATTTAACAGCAATAGATGATGCTGAAGAGCAAAAACAATTTCATTTCCTTTTTTTAGAAAGCTTCATGAGAATATACACCAGTGATTCATTGTCACATTACATAATTAAAACAAATCTAACGATTGTAGACCTGTTATCAAGCTGGGTTAAAAAACGTCTTCTCTAATACACCACCTTTATACCTTTGACATATTAAACTTGAACAGCGGTGTGTTATCGATATACGTATATCACACTTTGCGGTAACATACATACTCACGTGTATAAATGTCCATATTTGTAAACATCTTAATATTCATGCGTATCATCAATAGCAATGTTCCATGCCGAATATTTATTTTTTTACAGGTGTTGCATAATTGTTGATGTGTATCAATGTCATCAATCAATCAAAATAAAGGCTCGTTTTGAAAAGAACATTTGTATAATGTTCTTCTAATTTCTCACATACAAATATGAACAAAAGATCATTTTTTCTTCCGTATCACATTTGTGGTGACCCCACTATTTCAACGTAGAAATGGTTTATGTTTCCTTGTAGGTGTATTGTTAAGTGCCACATTGCTACATAATGACACGATATGAACCAAGACAACAATGACTTTTCACTTTTGTTCCGTGTCTCGTGAATATTTTGTAAATTTGAGGAAGAAAAAAATTGTTTGCGACAACACCATTGCTTGGTATGTCTCATTACTTTATTCTAGAGCTTGTTGTCATCATAAGACTGTCATCGTCATTGGTTGGGAGGTATAAATAATATATGTGTACATGTACAAACATACAAACAGGGATTCATTACTGGCTAGGGTAACATTGATGTGAAAATGCTCCTCAATGCTTACGTGTTTCAACTATGAATAATAAGATTTACGAGGTGTCACCGTTGCAGCTTTACATGGTTCAAATAGGTAATCGATATGTTTATTATTTTGTCATGACCAAAGAATGGGTATCCGGGGTTAAGACAATGCCTGAATACGTAGAAAAAAAACATATCATTACCGCCAAACAATAAAGACTTACTGCACTAGCCTTTTTCCCAATATGTTCAGTTTAGTTTAGAAACCACCTACCTGCCTTACATAAAATTGTTGGATGTGTAGTATATGATATTTACCACTTCTATGCTAATTTCAAATAAATAAAAGCGACAAAGCCCTTTCCATAACCTGCTGAAAACAGAGTCCGAATATATCCTGCTATACAATTCCCACTATAAAAATACGACCCCTGGAGGTTTGGACCCCAAAATGTGACACATAGCTATAGGCTACGAAAGGAATTGCGAAAAGGGTTTATGGTGGTATGTAGGGGAGCCTTACGCGTTTGATCTGAAATGAAAGTAAGCATTATGTATTGTCAGTTGTGTTAAACATTACGTTTGATGAGCGTATGAATTTATCCTTTAACTTAACTTATCCTTCTTCTTATCCGATAGTCTCCATCATCTACCACGACATTTTACGTCTATGAAGATTTCTAGCATTTTCAAATCAACAGTTTTCCTATGCAAATTCCTTAACCCTGAACTTGTACTAATTATTTACTACAATCTATGTTGGTCAAATGTGGAATAAAGGACACGAATTTTCAAGAGCATATTACTATATCTCAAAACTTGTGTTCACTTCGCTCGTCACGATATGGCTGAAATATTGCCGATGTGACGTAAAGCATTAAGTCACTCACTGTGTTCACTTCATCGGTTGGCCAATGACAATTCCAAAGCCTTGAACTCACATTAGTCATTGGCAATCTTGTCGGAGTGTGTTCCATTTTACACTTCTGTTGTATATTATCTCATTTACTATTGGATGACTATTGTTACGTATACTGAGCAATAATGTCCCTAAATTTCTTATGCATCACGGAGATGCAGTCTTGAGTAGTTCATGGTATCACGCTTTCTGCATGGAGACTCCGCTCATTCGGTGCTGTCGGGTACATTAAACCGGGAATAAGTCCGATAACCTCTGAATGTGACCACTATATGAACATTTACTGTTTGCATGAACCCCATTACACTGAAATAATGTGTCATCATCCTTGGGAACTTTCGCTCCAGTGATATGAAAGAACAGGATAATGATAACGAACGATAACGATAACGGCCAGCTGATAAACACAACAAATGATGAAATGATGAAATGTTATTGAAATCAATGTTTCATTTCAGGTACAGTTTGTGGAGATATTGTATGATTCTTTTCGCTGCCTACCACGGTATGTTCTCGCATACAGTTTTTACAATTAGAGATAAGTATTCCCGAAATGTCCTTAAAATCATAGAGAAGTTATTATCCATTAAATGTTTCATGTCTTCCTGTACTGTCAGGACAAAGTGGAGATAATTATGGATAACAACTTCTTTATTTACTGTAAAGGCGACGTTCCGGTATAGATCCTTATACCGTTGTCCAGACCCTTGTTTGACAACGGTATGAGGATCTATACCGAAACGTCTCCTTTATTCCGTCATCCTCAACTTTGTCATCCGTCAACTTCTAAGTAATGCCTATCAAACAATGCATTCACAGTCAAGGAATCCCTAAAATATGGAGCATTTATAAAAATCAAAATATTTATTCTTACCTCATAAAAAAATGTAACAATCGAAATCACTTACTTCATATACATAAAGTTCGTTTCGATTGATATAACACTGATGTAATTATAAAAGTGCATATGTCGTTTTGAAACAGGGGAGGATTCCAAAGGAATATATATCACTCACAAAATATTATTACTGTTATCTGCTAGTCACATCAAAGCACATAACACTCTTTCATTGTTATTTGACCAAAGACATTGTCTGACAATATATTTCTTGCATTCACAACAACGGAGGCAGTTCCAGCGATTTCTAACCTGCTAGGTTACCTAGGGAAAAGCTGTCCTGTGAGCTGTTTGGAAGGAAAGTGCACATTTCTTGACGATGGAGGCATTGACTGCACCTATGGATGTAACGATGGCTACATGGGGAAAATGTGCAACATCCAATGTATGCACAATTGCTCGAAATGTGAGCGAGAATATCGAGATGACTGTATCAAGTGTGATCAGGGTTACTTTGGCAAACTATGTGACAAATGTCCAAATGCATGTGGCGAACAAGGATGCTATGATAACGGTGTCTGCAAGAAGGACTGTTCAGCAATTAATGTCTGTGGTGATAAATGTTTACCAGGATGTAAGATATGTAACGACACATTAGGTAAATGTCAGGAGTGTGCCAACAATTTCATGGGAGAGAACTGCGAGACCCCCTGTTCAGACAATTGTCGCTCTATCTGCTCAACACAGAACTGTCTGTCCCAATGTGATAGAGACACGGGTAGATGTTTACATGGATGTAAGCCTGGTTCCTGGGGAGAGCGATGTGCAGATCTGTGTAGTCCGAGATGTCTTGACCAAAACTGTAATCAAATATCAGGACAGTGTGTTCAATGCATCAGAGGCTACCATGGCTCTAAATGTCATTTGCCATGTGTAAACTGCAAGGAAAGCGGTTGTCTTAAAACGACAGGCATATGCAAGAACTGTGATGCTGGGTACTATGGACTCACCTGTACTCAAACCTGTCTCAACTGCTCCTCTGACGTCTGTGATCGGATCAGTGGACTTTGTAGTAATGTATCCATGACCAACATAATAGGTAAGAATATTAAACTCCATTTGTTGAAATTAATCTTCCAGACTGAGTTTCAACTGTTCATCTGACGTCTGTGACCTAGTATATAAGTGATTCAATAGCTTGATGATGTGTCAACGCCATCGGGTCATTACGTCAGATCAGATATTGTACGCTCCCGATCCGTGCAGGTTGCGCTTGCAACAAGAATGATATGCCATATAGAGATGCCAAAACATGAAAGCAAACCTGGAAACATAATCGGGGCGAACCGGAATTCGAGCAACACTCATAGGTTTCTGGCGTGCCCAAAGGACGCAACTTTGCACAACGAATAGCGTCGCCTTTGACGTCTTAGCCAACCCTTTCTCCTTCGACTCTAGTACTCATATCTACGTCTGTACATGCACGAGCGAAATATCCTATAAGTAAAAGACACAGTTACATCGCCGTCATTTCAATGCTACTGCATGTGCAATTAGTTCAAACTAAAAGTAATTACATGTTTCAAAGGAAAGATATATAACAAATACCTTGAAATATAAGACAGTTGACCATTCTTCATGCTACTAAACGTACACTCATGTTGCAGATGACAGCAGCACAATTAGCTCGGCTGTACCTCGATATTTACCTGCTATATCTTCTATTACATTGGTAATAGCAGTCTTTGGTGCGGTCGCCTTCATAGTGATCATCATTCTTGTTTATCGGTACGTAACTAATGTATCTTGGCGTACTTTACTTTGTTTTTTTGTTTGTTTAAGGCATCACTCAGCAAAACATAACGACGGTCTGTAAATAATCGAGTCGGTACAGTCGAGTGATTGACATTATGAGCATAGATCTACGCAAATGGGATACAATGACATGCGTCAACCACGTCGGCGAGCCTGATCACCCGATGCGGTTAGTCGCCTCTTACGAGGAGCATGGGTTGCTGAAGTTGAATTTTAACCCGTATCTTCACGGGGAAGTTCACTTTGTTTAGGATATAAAACAATGTGTAATCTACCACAGTCAGAAGCATCTAGTGAGCAATGTTAGGTCCTGTGATGACCTGTGTCATCTTATGTGATGTAAGCGTAATATGTAAGTCTTATCGTAAGCCACAATTTCAAAAAGTCTATTTACGATCAAGGTGGTTGTCTTATGGTTATCAAGGCGTAGGTAGAGATGACAAATCGTTTCGATCCGTGGTATTATACGTGAATTCGTGATTTATAGAAAAAGAAGAATTGCAGGCCATGGCTTTAGCTGAAGATCAGATGTCCAGACAGTCTTCGGAAGACTCATCTTTGATCATTCCATACTGGTTTGGTTTTCATGGCGATGTTAAATCATTGACACCACCATATGGAACACGAGAGAATTACGAATATATCTGTGCTATAAATGACACCTGACCGAAATTTCGGCTCATAGCATAACCAGATATAAACCACTGTACTGTACGGTACAATTCGAAGAACGCTTCACAAATGTGTTCGTTTGTTTGTTGTTTAACACCGCAATATTCCAGCTATATGGCGGCGGTCTGTAAATAATCTAATCTGGACGAGACAATCCAGTGATTAGCATCATGAGCATCGATCCACGCAATTGGTTGCTTTGGTTTGTTGTTTAACGCCGCACTCAGCAATATTCCAGCTATATGACGGCTGTCTGTAAATAATCGAGTCTGGACCAGCCAATGCAGTGATTGATATCATGAGCATCGGTCCTCGCAATTGGGATACGATGACATGCATCAACCAAGTCAGCTAGCCTGACCACCCGACGCCGTTAGTCGCCTCTTACGACAAGCATAGTCACCTTTTACGGCAAGCATGGGTTGGCAAAGACCTATTCTGCCCCGGATCTTCACTGGTCCTCCACAAATTAATGGTACTGATCCAATGATCAACTAGTAGCAGGAAAAGAGTCATTCCTTATTGTGTCATATTTTACAATTATAATTATTCATAATGATGTTTTTGAGACATGACGTATGTTTATCAGTTACATGCTATACTACTTTATATATTAGTATTTGTGTATAAATTTTGAATGAAATTACGAGTGTATCACGAGATATTTCGAGTGTACACAAGTGATTTCATTCAACAACGTGCTTGCAGCATGGTCTTAACAGTCAATCACCTTCGCAGAAGATGACACCAGTGTTTCTATTGTTGCACGTGCTAGATTTGCACGGTCGACACGGAGGACCCTTAGACACTTGCCGATACATCATGTCATTTTGTTGAGGGGTGATAGGATGACGGTTGTTGTTGGCAAAGATGCTGTAAGTCTCCATCCTCCACGTTTTATGTCGGGACGAGTTTTTCCGTCCGTCATCATTTGGTGTCTGCATTATCTGCTGGACCTATTAATCTGAAACTTTCACCACCCTTCCTACAAATAAGGATATCGAAATTTGTTCACGGGGTTCGAATCTGATTTTAAGTATGGTCATCTTGGGAACACTTATATGCAGCTTTAAAAGTACATGGCCATCATAGGTTGCCTGCATTGGGCCTTAAACACACATCATATGTCCTTGATTTGACTTTTGACGCATTCAGACACAAATATATCACTGTATTGTCGGTAAACATTTCCGAAGCCACTTCACAATGAATCTGAAACTCGAATATCTTCCGCTTAAGAGGAGACCACGACATTTTAATCTGATTCGATTCCGACTGCAATAGATAAATTTTGACGGTTATTTATCAGAAATTAGTTAATCTGCAGTGAGCCTAAAAGATTATACAGTATTTTCGTGTACATATATTATGGCTTGCTTTGATCTTGTGAAAACTGAACTATGTTTTTATAGCGCCATTTTACACCTTTGCAGCGAGTAGATGTTTTTAAGCTTGAACAAGCCCATGTTGTTTTCTGTATCATAATACAAACTGTAGCAGGATATATACAGCGGTTTTAGTGCAAATAGAATATAGTAAGATGAGTAGTTAAATGGAATTTCGGCGTACACTGTATAGCGAGGTCTTTCGAGGGGCGTTGACGAGCGTGTTCAGCGGGAACCAATTTAACAACGAATTTAGATAATGATCCTGTGAATCAAAGACGCTCGCTGAAGAGCGAAAATTATTATGTTTGTATATTGTGCAAACGCATATCAAGATATAAGTATTCAATTTCATTAAGATTATTTATCCAAATATGGGTGATAAATGCCACTGTACGCAAACATTTTTAATTATTTCATATAGTGTCTACTCTGACATCGACTGATTAAACATCTTTGTTTTATGAATTATGTATTAACTCATATTGAGGCAAAGCAATATGAACTTCAGCTTTACTTTAAGTTTAAGAATGTTGAGGATTGACATTTCATGAATTTCATGTTTTGCAATGACAAACCGTACTGTTTATTTTGCAAGATTTATTAATAATATTTTTGAGCCATACAAACTGAGATTTAAGCTTTAATTTTTATATGAAATATTTTATGTTGACATTTAATGCATTTACAGGTATTACAATGTAAACTAGATGACCAGTTTTGTATGTAGTCTTGAAGCACAATAGTGAGTTGTGAATAAATTCTATGACATCTTCATAGGTCAGTTATTTTCTCCTTGAAGGCACATCTGACGTTTCGAGTGCAGACCACCACGTCCCTCCGTTTAATATGTTCCCATAGATATTCAAAACCTGAAAACAAAAAACTGTTTAACTTCTGAGTTTGTTTTACCATTGTGCGCAGCATTAAAACCTCTTTTATTCTTATGGTTGTTTGTGCATTTAAACGTCCACACTTTCCTTTCTAAGTGACCGTTTTCGTGGTCTAGTGATGGAGCGTCAGCCCGGAGAGCGTAAGGTCCGTGGTTCGATCCCCGACCGTGTTATACCAAAAGACGCTAAAAGATGGTACTTGTTGTTACACTGTCTGGCGCTCGGCATTAAGGAGCTAAAACAAAGTCCGGTTGGCTCGGAGTCAGTATACTGTGTCTGAGTGGGGTAACTGCGACATGGTATCTCAGTGGGCGTGCACTATAAATCGGCATCAGTCCGGACCAGTACAAGCAGCCACATACACACACGTGCATGCACGTCTCTATATAAGTGCATTAATCTTGGACGCGACGTTAAACCCCATTTCACCTCACCTCCTTTCTTATTTAAGTTTACATTCCATCATGGTTAGAGGCGAGACCAAAGGCGCAGCCCTGGATTATTTATTAGATAACAGACTGATAATGCCGAATGTTGTGCTGCAAACCAACCTTCGATATGAGCGCATCATCAGTGGTCGTTTATTAACTGGCCAAGCTCCAGTGTGTGTACCAATTAAATAATACCTCAATGCTTCTGACAATTTGAAAAGGTGTATGTATGGGATGCGTGTCGTACGTTGTGCCATGCTTCCCTGTCGGGAAGTCAAACTGACTTTCGCTATTATCTCAATAACAGTGAGAGACAGAAACTCTCGCAGTGACTTCGACCATGAATTCAAATTTAAGGACAATTAAGAATCGAATTGTTGAAAAGTTAGATAGACATATTTTAAAAACTATCTTAAAATATACATATTATACATGTACGTGTATCAAGTTTCATTGTATTTCTAACACATGTGCCTAAATATCGTAAGATCTGATGCGCATCATATATCTGCTGTATTCCCCATCAATTACCTTTTCGAGGAAGTGTATTGTGATTATCTCTTTCTGCATGTATGTACATGTCATGTATATGTGATAGTTGTCTCCTATGTGATTGGCGTATTTGAGCTATATTTAACATTTGACATTATTTTATTAGTAATTGTACATGTTTGCTTTCTAAAGCCTCTCTCATAAATCCCTGGTCGATAAGTTGTATACACAATTCTTATTTCACGTTCCCCTCAACAGTAATACATAACAACTAATGCGGGATGTTACTGAAACGGGCATTTTTCTGAGGAATTTCTAAAAATAAATCCATTGCATAGAAATTGTTATTGTATAATTAAATCGTTATATCATGCGAGGGGTGGCCGAAACATATGATGGACAGCCAGACTGAAGTGCGTGAATCCCATGGATGATGTAAAAATTCTTCTACAGCAGAACTAATGGCACAAGCATTTGCATCATGTTTGCCAGACAGTAAGCTGTTCTCTAACTTTGGTAAGGTGTGAAAATATGTCTGTGCCCAAGTGGTTGTTAAATACGGAGGCCGCGAACCCAATGTGCTGAAACCTTTGCCATGCCCAAAGGCTATTTGACGTGAGGTGAGTCGTCGATTATCCATAATTATGTCGTTATTTTATCACCATTTTGTGTCAGCTGAAGGTTTGTCTGATCTTGGACCATCTTCGAGGCTCTCTCTTTCCCCCTTGAATTCCAGTGCCCATCTCTAGACAATGGCAAAGGTGAGAGCATAACCCCATTGATTGTTGGACTTTGCCCTTTCGGTTTGAGATAATTGTTGACGATTTGGTCCATTTTAATCAACAGAGAATACATGGTCACTTTGATGCCTGGAGAAATATGCTGCATGGTTGTGCATTTGGTATGAAGGTGAGATTAACCCAGATGATATGTCTTGGTTTGTCAGCACAATGCCAAAGTGGGAAATGTCTACGACCTGCACCCGATTCACTTCAGACTTTCCCACAACATGAAGCTAACAGGCAGCAGAATAACTGAAATAATGTTCAAAAGGGTTGAAAAATACCTCACTCACTCGATCATAGGTTCGAATTCCCGTGGCAAACATCTACCACCGTTGTCACGTATATACAAGTAGGCTTTATTAGTAGCTTGGATTGGAATTCAGACAAATATGATATTTTAGTGGCGTCAGTATTTCATTTAAATCAGCTACAATTTGTTGAGAGATTTTGTATCCCTTTTTTGTTTTCTCACAGTTGTTACAATCTATTTTATAACCGGATACACATTGAAGTTCGGGAATGATGAAACCGATATCCCGATCCCCGACATCAAGTATTTAAGCATGAACGCTATCTTAAGGAACTGTTTGAGAAAGTATCGGGGCTATCACAACTTAGACACAAGTAATATTTCCGTGTTCGTGTTGGACACAATGCAAAACGTCGAGTCAGAGAGAACGAATCACCCGACAGGAAACAACACATGACAGATTTTAACTATATCAGTGTAACACGTGATTAATTTGTGGAAGTGGACTGTGCTACAACACTATGGCTTGGTAAGTCTCTAGAAATCTCTAGACCTTGCTATCATCGTTCGCCTGCATGCGCTGTGTTAAGTCTTTGGTAGGGCTGTATGAATAAAATATGTGTACATGTATAAACACCTGTTCAGGGATTCATTACTCAATGTTCCTCAATGCTCAAGTGTTAAACTGTATATACTGAACACCAAAGGTAACGCGAAAACGTCAGAAAATGTTTTCTTCCTGTGCAAATAGAACCGCGCTGGATGTTTAAGATCAAATAGTTGTTCTTTGTCCAAGCGGTCGAAATTCGAGTGGGTTTCGGCTCAAGTTGCCGTTGGGTACGAATGTTCCATGGCATATATGTGCGCATGATGCACGTGCTTCACATGACGCAGTATAGTCTCAAGGTGTTAATGTCGTTATGAGACTACGTCGTTTATCATTTATTCACTCTGCAAAGATCATGCCCTGTGGAGGCGAGTTCTTTTCTCTGACAGCATTGTAATTATACAAGATTCGCGTTTCTTTTGGTGATCAGTTAACAATAAGAGTTACCAGGTGCTACAATTGTAATATTACGTTCAAACGAGCTGTCGCTTTCTTAATAATTGTAATGTCATGACTTAAAACGAGGTGTCCCGACTTTAATTTATTTCCTTAATAACCATTATATTATTCCGACTATATACGATTATACGATTCCGACTATACATAAATGGTCGGTTGGAGCCTGGTAAATACATTTTGCAAATAAAGTTTATGATGGTGTATATATGGGCAATGTATTTTATTTTGAACACAAAATTGTTAAGTGCTGACGCGTTTGGTTTAATTTTCACGTATCGTAAGGTGAAGTTTCGTTCAAGATTATTGCACTTACATAGTGACGTGCATGCACATACGCTCGAGCGCGCGCGTGTATGTGTGTTTATGTCTGTGTGTGCTTGTACTGGTCCGACCAGTGCTCCGTTTACCCCCTTAATGCTGAGAGCCAGGCAGGGTAACAATAAGTATCACCTTATAACATATTTTGGTATGAAGCGGCCGGGGATCGAACCACTGACCTTCCACTCTCCATGTAGACGCTCTACCCACTACACCACGGAGGCAGCCATTTAGAGAAAAGTACGTGATGTACAGTCTACAAGATATGGATGCATCAAATCTCATCAAACAATGTGTGTTTACCAATCACACGTTGCAACTTTTATCACTCAGGAAGTAGATTTACAAACATCATATCACGTTACAGCATGACCGTGTACACGATAACATTAAAATTACCATTGTGTATGCCTACATGCATTTGGACACTTTGTATCATAATTGTCACCCGCTGTGTATTATCTTAGACTGCTATTCATGAGAAATGGAAACAAATCCAGCTTACAAATAAAACTTAAAAACTTGTGGGAAAATTGATGGTTGTAGGAATTGAAATTGATTTTTAATGACCCGGATTTTTACACTCAGTAAAATATTCATTGACACACAAGTTGAATGATGGTTGGTTGGAATTCAAACTGACATCCGATCCTACGCTAAAAGGGTACCCCGACTGGCCTCAAAACTTCATCACAGAAACTCCTGCAAGTCAATAATCAAGACTGACGAGGTCTGTCCTATGTCGTTGATGTCTGCCCACTTCTTCAATCAGCAACCACCGAACTGCCTGATCGTGATGCCGTGATGCCGATTTTGCAGTTTTAACATTAAACCCACTGTTTATGATGGACTTAAACTTTACGCATAATGAGTATATAAAAAAAGGACAAGAGACACGATATAGCCCAGAATTATGTAGAAAGTCTGTCAGCTGATTTCATGTCGTGGATACATTGTTCGGTTTTTGGATAGTCCGTGTAATATGGGTGTATATATTGCTTTCGTAAACTGTTTACATTAGAGTAGAGTTCCAATATCATCATCACAGTCATGTTATTGACTGTGGACAACCACTATCACCATTAGGCAAATCTATAGCAAATATATTTTGCGGACCAGTGAAATAGACTATTGTCTGTCCCTTAATATATTGAGATATTTTTGTTGTTCAACAGAGCCGTGATTTATGTTGTTGTTAGTAGTTACATTTTGATTAATTTTCCAAGGATGAATGCCAGTCTAATATATATTGGCTCGGAGCCTTCGTGGAGATTCACAGACAAACGTTCAGCATTTCCCACACTCTCCAAGAACCATGCTAGAAGGGGTATTCTTATGAATGCAGATTTCGCTAATATGTTAATATTTAGTACATTTAATTAAGAAATAAACGACGAGTGGGGGTTGTTTATCGTACAATAAACCACTGCAGGCAGCATAAACTATGAGTGGCGCAGCAGTGCTTAATTGTACGATAACCAACGACCACGAGTCGTTAATTTTGTTATCTGAGATATCAACAGTATGAACAGCCTCTTAAAGGATTTTAATAACATGTACATGCTTTAAAATATTAACCCTTATTTAAATAATGATAACTATCTGAATCCAGTTCGACCTCGGCAATGGTTCTCCCAATACCTTTCTCCCACTTTCGGGTGCGAACGTTTAGCCATTGCTACGTATTTATCTAGGCTGCCAAGCTACATCTATGGGGAACAACACATGAGACACACCCTCGTACATTTTACGATGTCATCACGTTGGGAGCGCATGTTCGAATCTCCAGAAATGACGTCATAATAGAACAATGTTTAATCGTGAAATAAGCCACGTTTTGTTCTTCATTTTTCTTTGCGATGTTTGCGTGCCTATCTTATATTCAAAAATAATTCTACGAGTAACTGAATGTAACCACTGCACACTAGTAATCATTTACTGTGTGCATGAAATAGGTATTTAGAAAGAAGAGGATAATGACAACTTACGAAAACGGCAAGCCGTGAAATCATTAAGATATTTAAGAAAAAAACCAACTAGAGACGGTACTGAGTGGAAATGATGAAATGTTATCTTAATTATTTTTTATTTCAGGTACAGTTTTTGGAGATATTGTATGGTGCTTTTCGCTCCCTTCCATGGTATGTTCTCGCTTACAGTTTTCACAATTAAAAACGTACTCCCGAAACGTCGTTAAATCATACTGAAGCAGTAATACACAACATTAATGATATAGTAGAACAGAAGATATGAAGCACTAAACAATCAAAATATTCATTCCCTGGTAACCCTGTAACAACCGAAATGACAAATATACATTGATGTAACACTTATGTAATACCCCACGTGACATTTTTTTATTCCAAGTATCATCGCATCAATATACGTGACATTGTTTTGAGAAATTAAAGGGTTAAAATGAATATTGTAATCGGCTAGTCAATGCAAAAGGTAACCTTCATTCTGTCAATGTCACTTGACCGCAACCATTGTCTGTTGATATATTTGTTTGCATTCCGTTCTTTCAGATTTGTTGGGAAACTGCACAGCAACAAACATCACAACCACGGAGCCAGTTCCAGCGATTACTTACCTGCCAGGTTACCTAGAGAAAATCTGTCCCCTGAGATGTTTGGAAGGAAAGTGCACATTTCTTGACGATGGAGGCATTGACTGCACCTATGGATGTAACGATGGCTACATGGGGAAAATGTGCAACTTCCCATGTATGAACAATTGCTCAAAATGTGAGCGAGAGAATGCAGATGACTGTATCAAATGTGATCAGGGTTACTTTGGTGAAATATGTGACAAATGTCCAAATGCATGTGGCGAACAAGGATGCTATGGTAACGGTGTCTGCAAGGAGGACTGTTCAGCAATTAATGTCTGTTGGGATAAATGTTTACCAGGATGTAAGATATGTAACGACACATTAGGTAAATGTCAGGAGTGTGCCAACAATTTCATGGGAGAGAACTGCGAGACTTCCTGTTCAGACAATTGTCGCTCTATCTGCTCAACACAGAACTGTACATCTCAATGTGAAAGAGACACGGGTAGATGTTTACATGGATGTGAGCCTGGTTCCTGGGGAGAGCGATGTGCAGATCTGTGTAGTCCGAGATGTCTTGACCAAAACTGTAATCAAACATCAGGACAATGTGTTCAATGCATTAGAGGCTACCATGGCTTTAAATGTCATTTGCCATGTGTAAACTGCAAGGACAGCGGTTGCCTTAAAACGACAGGCACGTGCAAGAAATGTGATGCTGGGTACTATGGACGCACCTGTACTCAAACCTGTCTCAACTGCTCCTCTGACGTCTGTGCTCGGCTCAGTGGACTTTGTAGTAATGTATCCATGACCAACATAATAGGTAAGAATATTAAACTCCATTTGTTGAAATTAATCTTCCAGACTGAGTCTCAACTGTTCATCTGACGTCTGTGACCGAGTCAGTGGACTGTGTATGAACATGCCCAACATGAATATTACTGTGGCGACCACAGTTGATGATATGTATAGTAGCGACACCTATATCACGACGGTCTGCGTAAAATACTAGTATATAAGTTATTCAATAGCTTGATGATGTGTCTACGCCATCGGGTCATTACGTCAGATCAGACATTGTACGTTCCCGATCCGTGCAGGTTGCTCTTGCAACAAGAATGATATGCCATATAGAGATGCCAAAACATGAAAGCAAACCTGGAAACATAATCGGGGCGAACCAGAATTCGAGCCACACTCATAGCTTTCTGGCGTGCCCAAAGGACGCAACTTTGCACAACGAATAGCGTTGGCGACTTAGCCATCCCTTTCTCCTTCGACTCTAGTACTCATATCTACGTCTGTACATGCACGAGCGAAATATCCTATAAGTAAAAGACACAGTTACATCGCCATCATTTCAATGCTACTGCATGTGCAATTAGTTGAAACTAAAAGTAATAACATGTTTCAAAGGAAAGATATATTACAAATACCTTGAAATATAATATAAGACAGTTGACCATTCTTCATGCTACTAAACGTACACTCATGTTGCAGATGACAGCAGCACAATTAACTCGGCTGTACCTCGATATTTACCTGCTATATCTTCTATTACATTGGTAATAGCAGTCTTTGGTGCGGTCGCCTTCATACTGATCATCATTCTTGTTTATCGGTACGTAACTAATGTATCTTGGCGTACTTCACTTTGTTTTTTTGTTTATTTACGGCATCACTCAGCAAAACATAACGACGGTCTGTAGATAATCGAGTCGGTACAGTCAAGTGATTGACATTATGAGCATAGATCTACGCAAATGGGATACAATGACATGCATCAACCACGTCGGCGAGCCTGATCATGATCACCCGATGCGGTTAATCGCCTCTTGGATGGGATGCTGAAGTTGAATTTTAACCCGTATCTTACCGGGGAAGTTCACTTTGTTAAGGATATAAAACAATGTATAACCTACCACAGTCAGAAGCGTCTAGTGAGCAATGTTAGTTCCTGTGATGACCTGTGTCATCTTATGTGATGTAAACGTAATATATAATATTATTATAAGTCTTATCGTAAGCCACAATTTCAAAAAGTCTATTTACGATCAAGGTGGTTGTCTTATGGTTATCAAGGCGTAGGTAGAGATGACAAATCGTTTCGATCCGTGGTAGTATACGTGAATTCGTGATTTTTAGAAAGATTAAAAGTGTATGAATTTCAACTAAGAGACCTAAGCTTTAAGCCCATCCAACCTTATAAGTAACTGGTGATGATGATACGATTGTATTGTAGCCACCAGTTAAATGATATATTAACACGATTTTTCAGGTTACGAAAATTGACATCAAGATTGACCATGTACGGGAGTGGTCATCGGCCTCCTCCTCAAGGAGCTGTGTACGTGAGTCATGAATATGATGAGATTAACTTGGAGGAGATGGACCCATCTTCAGGTGACATAAACAACGATGAACCGTATTACAGTCCCCTCGTTCATGAAGAATTGCAGGCCATGGCTTTAGCTGAAGATCAGATGTCCAGACAGTCTTCGGAAGACGCATCTTTGATCATTCCATACTGGTTTGGTTTTCATGGCGATGATAAATCATTGACACCACCATATGGAACACGAGAGAATTACGAAATCTGTGCTATAAATGACACCTGACCGAAATTTCGGCTCATAGCATAACGAGATATAAACCACTGAGTACTGTACGGTACAATTCGAAGAACGCTTCACAAATGTGTTTGTTTGTTTGTTGTTTAACACCGCAATATTCCAGCTATATGACGGCGGTCTGTAAATAATCTAATCTGGACGAGACAATCCAGTGATTGGCATCATGAGCATCGATCAACGCAGTTGGTTGCTTTGGTTTGTTGTTTAACGCCGCACTCAGCAATATTCCAGCTATATGACGGCTGTCTGTAAATAATCGAGTCAGGACCAGACAATGCAGTGATTGATATCATGAGCATCGGTCCTCGCAATTGGGATCGATGACATGCATCAACCAAGTCAGCTAGCCTGACCAACCGACGCCGTTAGTCGCCTCTTACGACAAGCATAGTCACCTTTTACGGCAAGCACCGGTTGGCAAAGACCTATTCTGCCCCGGATCTTCACTGGTCCTCCACAAATTAATGGTACTGATCCAATGATCAACTAGTAGCAGGAAAGGAGTCATTCCTTAATTTGTCATATTTTACAATAATAATTATTCATAATGATATTATTGAGACATGACGTATGTTTATCAGTTACATGCTATACTACTTTTTATATTGTAGTATTTGTGTATAAATTTTGAATGAAATTACGAGTGTATCACGAGATATTTCGAGTGTACACAAGTGATTCCATTCAACAACGTGCTTGCAGCATGGTCTTAACAGTCAATCACCTTCGCAGAAGATGACACAAGTGTTTCTATTGTTGCACGTGCTAGATTTGCACGGTCGACACGGAGGACCCTTAGACACTTGCCGATACCGCATGTCATTTTGTTGAGGGATGATAGGATGACGGTTGTTGTTGGCAAAGATGCTGTAAGTCTCCATCCTCCACGTTTTATGTCGGGACGAGCTTTTCCGTCCGTCATCATTTGGTGTCTGCATTATCTGCTGGACCTATTAATCTGAAACTTTCACCACCCTTGCTACAAATAAGGACATCGAAATTTGTTCACGGGGTTCGAATCTGATTTTAAGTATGGTCACCTTGTCAGCCACATGAGAACACTTATATGCAGCTTTAATGGTACATGGCCATCATAGGTTGCCTCCATTGGGCCTTAAACACACATCATATGTCCTTGATTTGACTTTTGACGCATTCAGACACAAATATATCACTGTATTGTCGGTAAATATTTCCGAAACCACTTCACAATGAATCTGAAACTGGAATATCTTCCGCTTAAGAGACAAGGACATTTTAATCTGATTCGATTCCGATTTCAATAGTCAGGAGTTTTGACGGTTATTTATCAGAAATTAGTTAGGCTGCAGTGAGCCTAATGATTATGCAGTATTTTCGTGTACATATATTATGGCTTGCTTTGATCTTGTGGAAACTGGACTTTGTTTTTATAGAGCCATTTTACACCTTTGCAGCGAGTAGATGTTTTTAAGCTTGAAAAAGCCCATGTTGTTTTCTGTATCATAAAACGAACTGTAGCAGGATATATACAGCGGTTTTAGTGCAAATAGAATATAGTAAGATGAGTAGTTAAATGGAATTTCGGCGTACACTGTATAGCGAGGTCTTTCGAGGGGCGTTGACGAGCGTGTTCAGCGGGAACCAATTTAACAACGAATTTAGATAATGATCCTGTGAATCAAAGACGCACGCTGAAGAGCGAAAATTATTATGTTTGTATATTGTGCAAACGCATATCAAGATATAAGTATTCAATTTCTTTAAGATTACTTATCCAAATATGGGTGATAAATGCCACTGTACGCAAATATTTTTAATTATTTCATATAGTGTCTACTCTGACATCGACTGATTAAACATCTTTGTTTTATGAATTATGTATTAACTCATATTGAGGCAAAGCAATATGAACTTCAGCTTTACTTTAAGTTTAAGAATGTTGAGGATTGACATTTCATAAAACCGTACTGTTTATTTTGCAAGATTTATTAATAATATTTATGGAGCCACACAAACAGAGATTTAAGCTTTAATTTTTATATGAACTATTTTATGTTGACATTTAATGCATTTACAGGTATTACAATGTAAACTAGATGACCAGTTTTTTTATGTAGTCTTGAAGCAAAATAGTGAGTTGTGAATAAATTCTATGACATCTTCATAGGTCAGTTATTTTCTCCTTGAAGGCACATCTGACGTTTCGAGTGCAGACCACCACGTCCCTCCGTTTAATATGTTCCCATAGATATTCAAAACCTGAACACAAAAACCTGTTTAACTTTTGAGTTTGTTTTACCATTGTGCGCAGCATTAAGTAAAATAATATAGGATTTTCTAACCAGCCTTGAGTCGGGCATATATAAAAACTTTAGACCAATATTTACGGGCTTAAATACATAGCACGTGTCTTCCACATTCACCTCTTACAACATGACATGCAGTTGTAGATTTTACACTTAGGACGCGCGTACAGGCCAACATATGAACAGTTTCAATTTCTGCACGTAATTCACAATTTACACTCCATATTTCTGCTCCATAAAGTAACATTGGACTTATCTTTGTGACATTCTTTTTTGAAAAATGAATGAAATAGTTATGGTTTTAGTATTGACAAGCACTTACAAACACAAATTGAATCTTCTTTGCTTGCAAGAAAGCATCTTTACATGTTTGAAATATGATAGAGATTTTGTAAACGATAATCCTAAGTATTTATATGAAGGCACAGAAACAAGCGGTTGTCCATCATACAAGTTTCTACTTCAATTGCTATTTATTTATATAAAAACGTGAACAATAGGGGACTTTAAACACAGCCTTGTTTTAGTCCCAAAAGACACTCAAAAGCATGGGAAGTAGTATCATTAGCCCTGACACAGGTTTCATCACATTTGTAAATAGCTTGGATAATCTTTGAAGGTATTCCAGAATTTTTGTAGAACATTCCATAATTTAGGTCTATATACTAGGTCAAATGCCTTCTCAAAGTCAACAATAATTGCATTATTTGCATTTGTTTTTAGACAAGAAACGTTAGACGATTGCTTGTAAAATAAAAATGTTGTGAATAGTGCTACAGCCTTTGCGGAAACCTGCTTATGATTCCACAATATTATCACATGTGTTGAACCAGTAAGTTAACCTATTGTTTAGAACTGTTGTATATACTATACAAAAAGCACTTAAGGTCATCCTCCTGTAATTAATTGTTCGGGGAGTGAGTGTCATATGTTTTAATATGCCAGTACCCCATGAAGCTGGAGTATA